ATTATTAGAAAACACAAACACCTATGTGGGTGGACGAACCTCTCTGAAGCCATAGGCTGTCAATTCAGAATCACCTTGCCAGGGTGCACTGACTGCCCAGGGGCTCCTTGTTCCGAAGGGTTCTTGGCCACCAAAACCATGCAGGTAACTGTCACTGCTGTTGGTTGCCTACCAGAACTCAGCGGTACGACCCTGTGGTTGAAGATTGCACAGTGTGGTTGCAGGACATGGAGAAATCAACCCAGGAGTGGACAGGCAGTACCTCAGTTTGCAGTGCTAGACGGCCCTATGTAGGCTGCCACAGGAACACTGTCACCCCAGGCCAGGATGGCATGCCAGGCAAGATGTGCTAGCGCATACAGTAGCAGCAAGGGCTGTTCTGGATGCATCCAGCAACTTGCCCACTGGCTGTAAGGTCACAGGGAGGGACCTGATGGTTCCGTGTTCAGAGTGCCTTGAGGCAGCTTAGGCCCAGTTACAAATGAAAATAGCTACCACACACACACACACACACACACACACACACACACACACACACACACTCTCTCTCTCTACAAGTTTATAGAGCAGAAAATAAGTAACAGCCACGCTTCCCTGCAAGGACATGGTCCTAAAAAGCTTTACAATGCAATGAAAGCGTAGACATGAACCAGTATGTGGGTTTTGTTGAGTAAAAGGCCCAGAGTATGAACCCTGGTGGTTTATAAGACTCTGCCTTCATTACCTTCATCTTTACGGAGAACCACTCCTTTTCAAGTTCCCTGTTTTGGCAAAGCTTGGAAGTTTTAAACTGCAGCTACACGTCTGTTGTGTCTGTGTGCATCTCAGAACATGTGAGCATTGCACTGAGCTTCCTTCTCCAGCCCTTTCCTCCTTTATCTTCCCTAATCAATTGCCGGATCCCAGCATCCGTGTGCAGCTGATTTCCAGAGTGTTGACATTTCGTCTTCATAGTCTCTTTTCCTTTACTTGCTAATGCCACCCAATTGTCACAGGATCCTGTCTGCTATCCAAGAGTAGGGCCTTGGTAGCTCTGTCAATCAAAGCAATGTCTTCCCCAAGTTAAGGGATGGATTTTGTATCAGCTTCCTCTTTGCTGGCTTAACACATTACCACAAACTTAAAGTCTTAAGACAATACATGCTTCTGTTTGTTTTGTGAGACAGAGTCTCACTGTACAGTTCTGGAAGACCCGGAACTCTCTGTGTACACCTGTCTGGCCTTGACTAAAGTCCTGAGATTAAGGTGTGTACCACAAGAGCCAGCCCCAAACAATGCAGATTTATTTATAGTTCTGTGGGCTGGACTAAACCAAAATCCAGTTGTCTGCATGGCTGCCTCTCTTTCTGGGCTTTGGGGAGGGTCGTAAGTCCCAGCCTTCCTGGCTCGTGAAGAAGGCTGCACACATTCTTTGTTGGGTCAGTAGTCCGGGATCTAACCCTGCTTCCTAGCTATTCCTTGTTGTCACAGGTAGGACTTCCCCAGCACCAACTGTGACTCTCCAACCAAATGCTTGCAAAGTCCTTTCAGTCGTGGGAGGAGGCAGTCACAGCTTCCAGGACACAAATGGCTTTTGAGGGAACATTTTCTGCCGACCACACAGCCATAACTTCTGGTGGCCCATTACTCTATTCCTGGAACGCAGTGATGTAACAATACTCTAGGACTGACAGGTCCTAGATACATCTGTGTGTCTGCTTCCTATTTGCTCCAAGAAAAGCCTGGCTCTTCAATTTGGCCTCAAAGCCAGAGCTGAGAATCTGCTAAAACCAAACTTAATACCCAGTAGAGAAACAAACTACAGTTCTTTCTTGCTGTGCTCTGTGGGTTTCTTTGAGAAATTGGACCCTCCAACAGACCGCAGGTCTTGCTTAGACCCTAAATGAAGCTTCCAGTGGGAGGGGTCTAATTGTGACCACCCCACCCCAGCCTAGTATGAAGATTCGCTAGACTCTACAGAGAAAAGTGACGACTACTCCTCATTAGGTCTCCACACCTCGGGACCCTTCTTCACAAGATTAGTCATTAAAAGAGAAAAAAGCAGGCAGACAAAAAAGAGTAGACACCCTAGAAGTCACGAAGGCTCAAAGGAGGGTGAGTGTGATGGTTGATGGGCAGCTCTAAAGGAGACAAACAGTACCAGCTATGTGTAGGTCTACCAACCTGCCCTGGAAAGGCAGGTCTGAACAGTGAGAAGAGTTTTCTTTCTGACACTGAGGGTTTGGCTCTATAGAAATGTCTGAAAAGGCCAGTGCATCCAAGGAGTAGTTTCCATGCAGCAGTGTGTGGAATTGGGGCTTCCGGGGAGTGACGAACCATGAAGGGTATAACTTCATCAGCGAGTTGGTACATCCACGGGCTTTTGATTTGACGCTGATATTGGGAGATGATGGACGTTTTCAAAAGTAGGTCACTGGGGTGTGCTTTTTAAGGTTCTGTCTGCACGAGAATGGGCAACTTCTCTCTATCATCCCCTACTCCCATAGTATTTTCTCATACTACAGCCCATTCAACAAAGCCACCAAGACCACCATGGAATGGAGACTATAAAATCATGAGCCAAAAATCCTTCCTCCCTCAGGCTGCGGTCACAGGATAAATACAATGATGGGACCAAAGATTCACCGTGACTTTTTTGGTGAATAATTTTATTGTAGTGAAGAATGTGGCCATGTTTCTCTGAGATGCACAATAAGTGGATATGTATAATATTCTTAGACAAGAGGGCAAGATTACATTTAAATAAATCAACAGACACAGACAAAATGGGCTGAAATCTTAACTTAATGGACTTAAATATGATGTTTGTTTCATTGCTTTGGAGTCATTTCAATTTTGTTTTTTAAAGACAGGGTTTCTCTGTGCAGCCCTGGCTGTCCTGGAACTCACTCTGTAGACCAGGCTGGCCTTGAAGTCAGAAATTCACCTGCCTCTGCCTCCCAAGTACTATGAGTTCGAGTCCAGCCTGGTCTACAGAGCGAATTCCAGGACAGGCTCCAAAGCAACACAGAGAAACCCTGTCCCAAACAAAACAAAACAAAATGTATGTAAAACATGAGGCAGAAGGAATTCAACTCAAGCTTGAACTACAGGTAAACTCAAAAAGAAAATCAAAGGCACGAAGGTAAAATGAAAAATAATGAAACAAAACAAAAAAGCAAAAAAAAAAAAAAATAGAAAATTAAAAACAAATTCAGCTAAGCATGGGTGGCATACCCCTCTGTTTCTTACAGCTGAAAATCTGAAGCAAGAGAATGATGTCAGGTAGAGGTCTGTCCGGGCCACAGAACAAATGCCGGGCCAGCCAGAGCCACTAACACTTCACACCAGAAAAATAACAAAAGGGGAGAAGGAAAGAGGTGAGGGGGTAGTAATTACACTTACATAGACCCTTGTTGACACAGGGTCCCACTATGTAGCTCTGGCTGGCCTGGAACTCACTGTGTGGCTCTGGCTGGCCTCAAACTCAAAAAATCTGGCTGCCTCCTGAGTTCTGGGATTACAGTGGCGTGCTACCACAGTCAGTCCCTTTTAGGAATACAGTTCCACTGTACAACCCAATATATTGCCACACCTGTCCCCGTCTCTCCTGCCCCTCCCTATTATTTTGAGCACTGGTTTTGCAGCCACATGCTAACATCCTCGGCATAAGCACATTCTAAAGTTAAATTCTAGGATGTATACTAATAGATGTGAGCATATGTACAAAAGCGTGTATGCATATGAAATTAGTGCTACGCCCTTTCTTCTGCATTGCCTGCATTTCTTCTGGATTCTTTTTGCTCTTGTTTTACTGGAGTTTGTTTTGGTTTGTTCCAGATGGATTGAAGACAGTGGACACTCAAGGCTCTTATATATTTAAATGCATTTATTGGACTTCCAGAGTTTGGGGGCTTGGTGGCTGGATTCCTCAGTCTCTGGAGTATGCGACCTCTGCCTTCGAATGTTTAATGCTAAGTAAGTTCCACGGCCAATCTATTTCCTTGGCATTCACCCTTCTTTGGGAGTCTCTGTTTCCTTTATAGTTTAATACTCCGAAGTCTTGCCACCCTGTTCCCGGGGGTGGCATTTATTTCTAATTTCTTGCTAGTGACATGGCAAAAGTTTTCCATATAAAATCGCATGTGTTTCTTCCTTTCTGAATAATTGTATCGTTTCATTATTTCCTCTTTTTTGACACTGGGGATGTCTCCCACTAAGTTGCCTCTCTATACCTTTTTCTTTGTATCTTATAATGAAACTTGGTGCTGAGTTAAAATCACCTCTTTCTACAATTGTTGCTTTCAGCTACATAGGATCTTTTATAGGTTCCTTTTTTATCTATAGATACAAGTTTTCCCAACCATTAGCCTGTCTTTTCAGAAGTATCCAGGTTTGGGATAGAGTGGGGTGGGAGTTACTATTGTCACTATTTTAATGATTTATCTTTCACTTCCAAGATTTCCAGTTTGTTCCTTTTTCAGACCATGCAGTTTTGTTTTGTTTTGTTTTGTTTTGTTTTCCCCCATGGAAGCTGCTTCCTTCTTACCTTTGAATAACAGTCAATATTTTAGAATTCTGACACTGATCTCTATACCCATTTTTAACTTTTCCATTCATTGTGTTGTTCAATTATTTTTCTCCTCCCCCCCCCTTTGTTTTTTCAAGACAGGGGTTCTCTGTCTTGGGGCTCCCTCTGTAGACCAGGCTGGCCTCAAACTCACAGAGTCTGCCTGCCTCCTGAGTCCTGGTCTGAAAGGCATGCACCACCACCTCCTGGCTTGTTCAACTCTTTTTATGGGACGGAATTCCTATACATTTAACTTTGGGAGGAGAGGGATACTGGACTTCAACTTGGAGACTTGTGCAGGCAAGAAAACTTTGTAAAGATCCATTCTTGCTTGAGAGTTTTTTCATATCTCCATTCCTGGTTCAGATGAGTATCGTTAGTGCGAACCAGGGCTAATGTTAGCGGATCAGGTGGGCATTTTCCTCTATGTGAACATTTGGATTTAGGCTTTGCACAGATGTTGTATAGAAAAAATGGATTGGGTGCTTTGCTGTCTCCTGTATAAATTTAATGTCCTCAAATGCCACAATCCAGTCCCAAAGTATTTCAGTGTGCTAGACATTCCATTTAAGAGAAAAATGTCCCTCTTTATAACATTCAATCTGAGGATATATCACCATAGTTTTTTGAACTAGAGGAGGGAAAATCAACCCTGGCATGCCTTGGCTCTCCACGAATCTCTTCTCAGTCGTGAAATCTATGTTCATGAATGGCAGTGTCCTGGGCACGCGTCCCCACCTTGCGAGCCCCTTGAAATACCTCCACTCCAGGTCCACTAGGTCCAGGAATTGCTTTCCTAGAAAGATCATATTTTGAAAGAATCACACATTGGCAATGCTTCGCAGACAGAATAAATCTCCAGTGAGCCAAGTTGCCTTCTCCATTCTGGCAGCTGCCACCCAGAGCCCCTGAACTAAATAGCAGCCTTTGTGCACACTATTCCTCATGTTGTCTCTGATACCCTAAGGGGAACTGGTAAAAAACAGACGAAGCCCCCCCTGTGCCCCCCTCCCCCCAGCGATCCTCTTTGAAAGAGAAAAAAACCAATCAGGAAAGGTTCAGGGAACACACAGACACACACACATGCACAAGCACACATGCATGCCACCAGCTGTGAAAGGCACAGGCTTCATCGGCAGCCATGCCGCGTCCTGTTCACAATCACCTCTCAGAGATGGGCATGAGCCTTGGCCCGAGATTGCCTCATTTTATTCTTTTGCTGTTCTCAGGGTTGAACTCTAAACCTTGAACATGCTACCATGAGCAACTGCTCTGCCCCCTCCCCCCGCCCCGTCTCTGTCTCCCCCAACCCATTTAATTTTAGGCTGGGTATAGCTAAATTGCACAGGCTAAATTGCCCATGTTAGCTTCAAACTAAAGATCCTCCTGCCTCAGCCCCTGGAGCTGGTATGTACCATTCGCAGGATGGAAAATTTAAAACCCTTTTCTTTACTTCATGGCCACCACAGGCAGCAACAGCATTAGCTACAAACCCTGGAACAGTAAAGGTTTCCACCGGTTGGTGCTTGACATAGTCTGCTCTAGAGAGATGGACCTAGATTCCCAGCAAGGTTTGCATCTCTCCCCACCCCCAGCCCCAGGTGAACCTCTTTACCGGGCTCGAAGGAGAAGAATCGAATCGATTTATCTTCAAAGTCCAGCCTGTCCGGGGTAACAGAAGCCAGGAGAAGTTTGCGAAACGTGATGCTTTCGGTCCTTCTCCTAAAGGTGGGCTTTTTCGGAGTAGCTATGGGCTCATCCGTCCTGAACCCATAAGGAAATGTGTATATGGGAGGGGGAATCCCCGCCTGAATCAGTTTCTGATGGGTCCTGGATAGCTGCTCCAGTGGGACGAGGGAACCCATCAGCAGGCTGTGGTGCAGGAGGTCTGCCATGGACGCTGGCTTCTGCTCCTCCACGTTAGTCGGGGTCTCTATGGCAGGGAGGGGTTTATCTTTTCTCACAGCGGCAGAGGTGACACTTGACTTGGCATTCAGGTTTTTCCCAAGGAGTTGCCGAGCTTCCTCAAATGATGTGCGGCAGAGTTTTTGGAAATTTGATTTCTTTCTCTCGATATTAAAATTCTCAGCGGATTCACATAATGCTGGGAGCTGGAGCTGGGGGTGGGGGGGGGCGGGGGGGGTGGAGGACAGGGCGTGGAAGTGATAAGATCAAAGAAAACGTAATGACCTCTCCCAACAGGAGTATTCATCTTTGCAAGCTCTCATTGCCTCAGTCAACCACCAGAATACGGCATAGAGGATGTGGCAGAGTGCCAGGTTCATGGTCCAAAAGATGGGTTTAAGATACATCCTTAGCCAGGTGGCGTTGGGGAGGCAGAGGCATAGAATTAGCTCCAGGAGAGCCAAAGCTACACAGTGAGACCATGAACAAAAATAGACACACCCTTTACACCCATTGCTGAAGAAATAAGCTGTTTAGGTCTGGGTTTGGTGGCTTTATGAGACCTGTTTAGCTCTACTGTTCTGCGTGGCTTTGCAGAAAGATGGCTGAAGCCAGCTGTGGACTCGTTTGGAAGAAAGTAAGACAGATCATGTAAGTAACAGAGTTTCACCCTGGTGTCTAAAGAGCTCAGAATATTCCAGAATGCAAGGCCCTCATTGTTAGTATTCAGGCATCTGTGCTGGCCTGTCCTTGGGGTTCTGACAGGACACTCCCTCAGCTGCAGCCACTAAGAGCACCCCCTGTGCACATTCACTAAGTTCCCCTTTAAAAGGGCCCCACCCACCTCCCATCTCTCTGCCTCTGACTCCGTCTCCTCCACTTTTCTCCCTCTCCTGCTGCTCCTGTCCTCAAGGCCAGTCTCCCCCGTCACCTCCCCCCCTTTTTATGATCCCTTTCCCCAATTAAAAAAAATAAAAGTAAAAAATAAAATAAAAAACCCTCCTGTGCTTAAAACCCTGTTCCATGGTATCTTTCTCTCGCTCTGCTTTTGTTAAATCACAACGATCCTCAGAGTAGTTTTCTAAGTAAATAACTGCATTATTGTTTGGAAATCGTTTTGCAGAACAAAACTGTAAGCGATTCCCCACAGTTATCCCCCCCCACACACACACCTAAGTCCTGTGGAGAAGGACTAAAACCTTGCTTTTTAGATTGTCCTAAAAGGCATCCTAAAAGCCAGAGTCCACTACCTCAGGTTATAGCCTAAGTTTACCTCATTTCCGTGGGGAAGCTGCTCAGTCATAAAGGTTCCCCAGAGAAGAGCAAAAGAGAAAACTTAAGTCAATTACCCAGCTGCTGGGCCCAATGGCCCAATGCAGTCCCCTTATAACAGTGAACTAAAATTAGCATGTTTCTTTAGAGCAGGTTTCCATCCGAAAAATGGCTTAACCTAGGTGCTGCCCTGCCCCTGGACAGCTAGGTCATGCAATGGGGGGCTGGAGAGGTGGCTCGATGGTTAAGAGCACTGGCTGCTCTTCCCGAGGACCCAGGTTCAGTTCCCAGCGCCCACAAGGTGGCTCCAGACTGTAACTGCTGTTCCAGAGGATCTGATGTCCTCTTATGGCCTCTGCGGACACCAGGTGCATGCATATAAAGTGCTGCTCTTTTTAAATGAAGGCACCGAAATGAAACTCTGGCACACTCCAGGCAACACCTGGGCCCGGCTCTGGACATGATGGTCTGATCTCACAGGAGTCTTTAGCGTCAGTTGCCTGTGTACAGTATGGAGCTGTCAAGTTCATACCGAGCATTTGTGATCCCTTGGTGTGGTGCTGCCGTGAGTCCCGTCGTGATGTCCCGGGAGAGACATTGTGCGAGGAGCTGAATCTCCAAGGCCCTGAAAAGGCAACAAAGGGGAAGACCAAACTCAAAGGTCAAAGGTCAGATAGACTGTCAGTGTCACAGCGTGACTTCCAAACATCTTCTGAACCTTGTGGACCGGGCACTGTAAAGGTCTGCCATTTTATCCTTAATTTGTCTTATCGGTCTATGTTAGTCAAGTTAATTCTGTTTGAACCAACCATTGTTATCACGACACTCCAAATTCCTTTGTTTGTTTGTTTGTTTGTTTGTTTGTTTCTTCTCTCAAGACAGGGTTTCTCTGTGTAGCCCTGGCTGTCCTGGAACTCCCTCTGTAGATCAGGCTGGCCTTGAGCTCGCAGAGATCTGCCGGCCACTGCCTCCCTAGTGCTGGGGTTAAAAGTGTGTGCCATGACCACCTGGCACACTTCAAATTTATATACAAAATATATGTTAAGCTTTAGTCTTATTCTGAAGAATACCACATAAATCGCTCTGTTTTGTTGCCTAATATTTCGATTTACCTTTATTCCAGAGTACTCCTGAAAAGAAGTCATAATAACACTAACAAAAAACGACCACTTCATGGGTGGAACTAAAACTGCCCCAGGATTCCCAGAGTTCCTCTGTGTTAAGTACATGCCCACATCTGACTCCAGCTGGCCTTCTAAGTGGCTTCCACCACTAATAAACAAGCCTGTTTGAGGGACACAGTGCGAATGGCAGTGTGTCGATGTCTGGCTTGTACAAATAAAGCATGTCTGAGAAGGTCAGAAATGGAGCTTGCCACTAGCTAACCACACAGAAGCCGTCTCCAAGCACAGCATGCTGCATGCAGATTTAGCTTTTACTCATACAGACAAAAAAAAAAAAAAAAGGTTTATGTGCAGTGTGCTACAAGCTGCTTGATGGCAGTACAGACCAGGGGTAAGCACAGCTCTCAGAGCTGGTGGTAAACATACCCCCACCATGTGGGAGGCTAACTATGTGGAGCCAGTTAGCCAAAGCCTGGGCTTTAATCCTAGCTGTGAAGTTTTTAGCAGATTAAAGACTTGTGGTCAGAAAAAGAGAGAGATATACAGTAAAGACTGATTCAGATGAAGAAAAACCTGTACAGAGTTTACAGTGTGTTTAAAAGTGTACATAGACTTGGGAGAGAAAAGGAAAAGGATAGAGAAAGTCCTTAAAAAAGAAATAGAGGAGCTGGGCATGGTGGCGCACGCCTTTAATCCCAGCACTCGGGAGGCAGAGGCGGGCGAATCTCTGTGAGTTCGAGACCAGCCTGGTCTACAGAGTAAGTTTAAAGACAGCCAAAGTTACACAGAGAAACCCTGTCTCAAATAAATAAAAGTAAAAGAAATAGAGGAATTAAAAAAGCCACGTAAAGATGGAAAATACACGGAGAGTCTGGATACTGTTCGTTACTATGCTGTCTTTTAATTGTTTGATTGCTGAGGAAGGAACAGCTGCCAACAGACATTTGATTACGAATGCTGCTGAATTAATCTAACATATATACTTTGAGAATGTATTGACTTCAAAATTTAAGTCTAAGGACATGTTACTTTGGAAAAGAGGTTCTGCTTTTGTTCCCACAGAAGATGAAAAGCTGTGGATTCCTTCCAGACTAATATGGTCTGATCAAGCAAGACCCCCTGAAGCAGTGGCCCAGGTGATCCAACATTCAAAACAGCTGAGATGATGCAGCCCCAGACCATTACCGCCAGGATTTGGCCAGGGTTCTGGGTTTTCTCAGGATCCCCTTGGGATTGACAGCGTCCCCAAACAGCACGAAGCAGTTTGGAGAGAACTACGCCCACATTCTCAAATGTTGTTTATAAATGTTTGTATTCATTTAAATGGGCTTGGTTATAAATGATTACAACTGATCTCTTTCTAAAGAAAAAAAAGAATATGATATAGAAATTAATACTTTGCAATGGTATGGATTTTGACTTATTGATTCAAATTGAAGGTCAATTTTGTTATATGTATATTCCTACTCTTGTTAAGGATTTGTGTTTAAACAGCTCAGTTAAAATGTAATGTATAACTAAGTACAGATTATAGTCACCTATGATATTCAAAACTTAGATTTTCTAGATATACAGAGATATATTTCAAATGGAAAGGTATTCTTCAAAACCTTTCAAAGACCTACAGAGTATGGTATTTAAAATGATTTATTAGGGTTTTTCATGACAATGAGACACAATTGCACCTGGCAGTAGCAATTACATCTGAGAGGAAGACGGACATCGAAGAAACTCATTACGGAGTTTGCCTTCAACATGGTGAGGATAACCATTTGGAGGGGAAACTGCTCTTGCCTGGACTGCTTGACAGCATGCTGTCCAAACTGGACAAGCAGGTTTACTAGGAAAGTGACTGCTAACTTGGTCATCCAAGGTTCCTGCCTCATCAACAATCTGCCAGACACTATGGCCTATAGGCTGACGAGGGATGCCCCAACGTTACAGAGAAACTTTGGGTGACTGTCCAGGAAGTAAGGTATCTCTGTGTAGAGTTTATATATTCTCCTTCTGGGATCTTTGATGGCATTGAGGACAGATAGTTATGGTTATGGTTTTCCTTAGTTATGATAAAAGTCACATATAAAGCTTTAGAATCACAAAAATAGGATAGATGATAAGATATTTTCTTTAAGTTTTGCCAAATGTTAATGGACTAAATATTGTGAACTATAGCTCTTGCTTCATAGCTGTTTTGTTACATATAATTTCACCATGCTAAAGTTAAAACCTTCCTTTTCATTTAGACAGAAAAGAGATGATCGATGATGTCCTTCTGGGTGCTGTGAATGTATGTTTCCTTTATTGGTGGATGAGTAAAGCTGCTTTGGCCAATGGACAGGCAGGAAGTAGCCAGACAGGAAGTACACGTGGGGTGACCTGACTAGGAGGATTCTGGGAAGAGGATGCAGAGATTAAGTCACCAGAGAGACGCCATGTAGTTGCTGAAGGAGTAATATGCCAGAGCATTACAGGTAAACCACAGCCTCGTGGCAATACATAGCTTAATAGAAATGGGTTAATAATTAAGAGAGGGCTAGCCAGTAAGAAGCCTGAGCCATTGGCCGAGCCGTTTATAATTAATATAAGCCTCTGTGTGCTTATGTTGGACTAAAGGGCTGAGGGACCAGGCAGGACAGAAACTTCCATATGGTGGTGTCTGGGCCATAGAGGCTTTGGGCTTTTCTCCACATTTCCAGAAGCCTGTGCCTCTGTGTAGGAGTTTGGCTTTTTTTCTGGAGAGTTCAGGTGGAACCAGAAGCCCGCACCAACCATTAGACATGTAAGGAAGATAGCCTCAGGCCTGAGTCCAAGTTGACTACAGCTATGTGAGCCCAGAGAGGAAACACCCCACCCCAACCTCCCCACCCCACCCCACCCCCACACACTGAGCCTACATTTTGGCAGATTAGTACAAAGCAATAAATACAAACAGACTCTACACATGGGGTTGGTATCCACTAGAGGCCTGAGAGGAGAAGCCTGTGATACTGGCTGTCCTGGGGGAGTTGGGGAGCTTGCAGGCTCTGAGACAGACTCTAAGTCATGCTGTGGGAACACTCTGACTGAGGGAGAAACGTGACGAGAAGCCGGAGAGTAAAACCCTGATGCAGTTGCACAGTATGAGTCTGTGAGCATTTTCTGTAGGAGAAGAGGTATGTGCAGTAGGGGACTGGCAAGTGCTAAATGTAGACCAGTCTGGAAACACCGGCCATGGCTCAGGCTTAGGCCCGGGCACCATCCACGACAGCTCAGTGTGCCTGTGGAAGCTCCCGGAAGCCTGAAACATGAGGCGGTGCGTGACGAAGACCCGAGGCAGTAGGAATAGGAGAGGATAGAAAGAGAAAAGTAAAATCCCATGCAGCAGGGTTTGCATGGATCTGGGGGCACGGCTCTGTGATAAAGTGTGTGTCTGGCATGCAGGGGGCCTTAGGTTCAATTTCTGTGTTATTAATTTAGAATGGTATGGATAGTTGGGCATGGTAGCACATCTGAAACCTCAGCATTTGGAAAGCACAGACAGAAAGCTACAGGCTAGCCTGGGGTACACTGTGAACCCATCTCAAGGAAAGTAGGAGGCTGGAGAGAGAAAAGTCGGGGGAAGAGAGAGGGTATGCATGGAAACTGCTTAATATGGGGTCCCAAGCCTCACGGCTGGTCTCCAGGGACTGTACCTGCTTAGGGACTTCTTGGTTGGATGGATGATGTCCTCAAGGCTTGACAGGCCTATTGTGGCAGGAAGAGGTCATCCTTGGCAGCGTAGGTTGGAACCCAGTTTAACTTTTCACTTATCTTCATCATTCAATTTTGATGCGCGAGCTCTGGTTCTGAAAAACACAAGAGGAAGCTCTCCCATCTTCCTCTCTTCCCTTTGCAGTTTCTTTTGTCACTAGGCTGGACACCACGATGGACATGTGGAGCTGGAGGAAAGAGGACTCCAGACAATGGAGCATGGACCAGCATCGGGGCTAAGTATCTGTGGGAGCCTGGGACGGAAGGACGGAGTTGTAGAAGAAGGAGGGCAGCGTACTTCTGCCTCACAGGAGACAGAAGTGTGTCCCCACCCCTGTGGGTAGGTATGAGCCACACATTGTCACCTGTCACCATATAGCCTTGAGCTCCTGCCTCTTCATTACCCATTGATTAGTCCTCTTCATGACAAGCACAGCGAGGCTCATTTCCCACTGTCACTGGACTGTTAGAATGCCCTGTGACAGTGGCTGTCACTGCACTTACCACTTAAAGAGCCATCTCTGTCACTCATTAGTGAGGTCCCAGGGTGAAGGCCCAGTGTCATTCACCTGGTAGACCCCAGGCCCAACTCTGAGTCTGGAGGATGCCAATGCTTTAGTGAAGGGTAAGTAACTGAGTCACTGTTCATTGTGACATTTGGAAACCCTTAAGGTCACAGAAGGAGCTGATTGACAGTAAGGGAGAGGGTGGGGTGGTAGAGAGTGGGAAAGTGCTTTTTCTAGAAGAGCATCAAACCGCTGGAGTGCCACTGATTGGTTAAGGTTTCCCCGCTGTGGGCTATTCCCAGGCTCTTTCTGCAAGGTGTAAAGGAGCTCAGTAGGCAGCCTGAGCAATTGAGACAAACCGCTGTAACTGGCTATGATTGGAGTGTGTCCCACATCCCTGTGTGAGATGCTGGTATCATCCCCTCCCTAAGCTGAGTTAACGAAAAAGGTCTCTCTGAGGAGAACCACAGCCCTGCATGGTGCCTGCCGTTGCGCGAGTCACCACTCGCACACAGGACATGCTGTGGCCTCGCTTCAGTTTTTACCCTAACAATTGAGCCTGAAGACCTTCCGGATCATTCTCTAAGGGTCAGCTATACTCATCCTCTGTATGAAAGGTGTGTGGGTTTTCCTGTCTGCCACAGGCATCTTTTCCCAGCTGTCGGTGAAGGGAGCCAGGTCCAGTGCTCTACACTTGGAAGCATGACTTACCATGGCCACGGGGATCTATCCTGGCATGCAGGGTGGTCATGTCAGATGTCTTAGGGTCTTCCCGCTGCTGTGCTAAAACGCCATGGTAGGAAGCAGCTTGTTGGGGGAAGGCCTTATTTCAGATCACAGATTGTAGTGCTTTGCTGAGGGAAGGCAGGGCATCAACTCAAGGCAGGCGCTGATGCAGAGGCTACGCGGAAGAGTTTCATGGTGGTATGTCCCCATGGCTTGCTCAGCCTGCTTTTTCATACCAGCCAGGAGCACTTGCCCAGGGCTGGCACCGTGCACAGTGAGCTGGGCCCGCCCATATCAAGATACGGGCCTATCGTATGGAGTCATTTTAGCAGGTGCATTCTCTTCTTCCAGGGTATGCTTAGGTTTGTGTCAATTGGCCAAAACCAACCAGCATAGAGGTCTAACAATTATTTCACAGCCTGCCCATAGTTACTTATCTGACTGTGGAATGTTTTGTGTGTTCTGGTATACAACATACTGGAAAACCCCTCTGCGTCTGTGTTTGCGCAGGAAGATACGAGTGCTCAGATTTCCGCTCCTGATGCCACATCTTCTGTCCGCAGCCACGCCTCCTTCCCCATGACGAACTCTCCTCTGGAAACATGAGCCCAAATAAACCCTTCAAAAATAAACTAAAACCCAAAATTCAAAGGAAGCTCAAATCGGACATGTTGTTCATTGTGTAAGTTGACAATGCAAACAAAGTTTTGTGAGATTTTGGGGTCCTTTGTTACTGTTGCTGTCAGATTGTGTTATTTATAGCAAAAGCAAGCCCATTTGCCAAACTTGCATTACCTAATTTATATTTATTTATTTATTTATTTATTTATTTATTTATTTATTTATTTTGGAGACAGGATTTCTCTATAGCTTTGGAGTCTGTCCTGGAACTCATTCTGTAGACCAGGCTGGCCTCAAACTCACAGAGATTTGCCTATCTCTGCCTCCCAAGTGCTGGGATAAAGGCATGCGCCACCACCACAGCCAACTGTAGGCAGACCTAGACAGGGTCTGCGATGCTTGGTAGGAGGGACATTTTAGAAGCAGGCTGTTTCCTGAAGCCGACAACCTTCTGTGCAGGCTTTGCTCCTCTCTCTGGTTCATCCAGCCTTTGCACAGCTCTGGCTAGGGGAGGTGGATTACAGGTTCAGGGACCTGATCCTTCCCCAGGGTGTGAGGCAGAGACCGCCTTAGTGTTTGAAGATTGTTCCTCGTCAGGCTCTCATCATGCCTGCAGACCCTTGGCCATGCCGATTTCATCCCAGGGCACCAGCTTCCTGCACCTGAGCCACATTCTCTTCTGGAGTCTTTCAAAGAGCTGAGATGAGGTCATGGGCAGTACAAAGTCTGCAATCCAGAAAGCTCCCCCTTTCTCAGGGTAACCCTGCCCTTTGTTTTCACTACAGGGATCATTTTACCACGCACACACGCTCACACACGCACGTATGCACGCACACACACGCACAATCACCAATAACCCTCCCCTGTGTTTTTCTGAAGAAACCTACTCCAGTGGTCTCTTCCAATATGAGGAATTGGAAGTGTGTTCTAGTTTCTTATCAGAATGATTTCATTACATCTCTGGATGATGCCAAATCCCGAGTTTTCACTCCACCTTCCTCCAAAAGGGATGGAGGCTGTTGATGAGATCTAACAGACCAGACAAAACTTGCCCCAGAGGGGAAGAGGCCATGATTGAGGTTGAGGAGGGTGGGGCCTTGCTCAAGGGGAAGGAAAGGGAATAAGAGCATGGCAGGTAGACCAGGGAGTGGGGTTATTAATGGAACTATTAATGAGATGGCGTTGAAGGACTCAACACATGTGGGCATATGCTGGAAGTACAGTGGGAAAAGGTCAACGGCTGGGCTGTCCGTAAGCAGGACACGGTTCTGCAGACCGCCCAGGACTGGAACAACATTGAAGGACAGACCCTACCACAGGATGGCGGGAGTGGCAGCCAGATTATTGCCTAGACTGGCCACGTGGATAATTGTGTCTTACAAGTATTCTGGCGTTCTGTCCCCTCCAGAGCCTCCTCGCAATTGGCTCTCTCTCTCTCTCTCTCTCTCTCTCTCTCTCTCTCTCTCTCTCTCTCTGATGCCCTGCAACTCTGTCCCTGCAGTGGCTAGTGGCATTACTTGGAAGAACATGGCAGACAATACACTGGGGGCAGCGGTGGAGATGTTTTTGCCTTGACAACCACTAGACACCCCACCTGGAAAGACAAACAAATGCTAAGAATCTTGCCAAACATTTAGCTTCATTCTTCCCTTGAGATCTCTGTCGCAAAGGCAGGTTGCTGTGGGATTTTGGTGAAATGAACATTCCATGTTCATCCATAGAACTTGAGCCCAGATGTCTATGCCCACTTCACTCCGGGGACTCAAACTGCAGGTGGCTCGGGGGAGTCCTCCTGTGACTCCACGGAGCCCGTGAAGATCAAGGTGGCATCATACGGACGCACTGCGTTCACTATCGCTCACTGTCGCCAAACATGGATGGGCATTGCATCACGGTCGCTGATACAAGGGCTTCATGCCTGGCACAGGCAAGTCTGGCCAATGCTCCTCACTCTCTGACATCAGAAAGCTCAGTGGTATTCTGTGTGACTCAAGAAAGTGCCAACAGGGTGGGGCAGGCAGTGGGGTGTGGTGGCAGGTGTTAGGTTATAGTGAGTTTTCACTGTGTCCGCACCTGCGGCGCTGACCACGCCCACTGCGGGTGGGGACAGGTGCGGATGGGCGGGGGTTGGGGGGGGACTAGGTCTGGGGCAGGGACCCTGGAGCGCTCTCTCCCTTGCTGGACAGACAGATAGCATCCGGAGGCATCCTTGGGACGGGAACCTGCTGGCGTTCATCTGTCTCTGCTGTAAATTATTTCTCCCTGGATAAACATCTACTCAGCCTATCTGTCTTTCCCGATCCTTATTATTCCACGATACTAGGTAGGGGTCATGGCGTGTGGCCTCGGTGCTTAAAGAATGCTCATTCACCGCTCTGTCCCCCTCTGGCAGCCACTACCTCACTCCCATGGACATTCCTCTCCTTGTGGCACTTCCTCAACGTGAAAGGAAGGTGACTGCTTGGGTACTTCCGGAAAGCAGGGTCAGTTAGATGTAAAGAAGCATCTCCCACACCGCCTGAACAAATGAGCGTGGGAGGAAGTAGTTACCACACCTTGTGGTTGGTGTCTCTCACTGCCAAGCCTGTGCAGCACTGAGTGGGTCCTGCCTCCCCCAGCTTCTACCCTATAGACTCTAACTCAGGAGCAGCTAAAATATGTTAGCTATATCTTGGATCACTAACAACTGTTCCAAAACTTTGACTGAGCCCACTGTATTCTAGGACATTTACCTGTCCTTGTTAGACAAGCCAACCTCATATAAACAAGGATATGGGACGGAGGGAAGGTGTGGGCTGTCACAAAGTATAGAGGCTACAGTAAGATGTAGGAAGTGGGTGCCATCACAAAACTCTAGGGAGCAAAGGTTCTTAGGGGTCTATGTCTGACCTCCTCTCAGCAATGGGAAGAGGGGTGTCTTGCAGAATATTCAGGGTCAGTATGAGGAAGTAGTGTCCCATTTCCTGTGCATACACCTTGTGTTGTCTAAATCAAATGTCCACACTTGGGGCAAAAACAGAGCCACATTGTCACAAACTTTATTGGGGAAACTTACACCGTCAAAGGAAAATTACTGTTGGGTAGAAAACATATTCCGCAGGACACCTGGAAGAGCGTTTTGCATGGGTAATGGAAACAGATCTCCCAACATTGCCTTCCACACAGAGAAGGGCAGTTGGGACACCCTGGCCAGCTTGATGCCTACAGATAGGACTTGGGCGGGACTCGGGCTCCCTGTGAAGCACCGCTGGGGGAGATCCCCATCATCTCCGCTCTTCCTGCAACGCCACACCTCTCAGGGGCGCTCTGCCCTTGTCCTGGGCTGCAGGACTCAGCCCTTTGCACTTGAGAGCGGGCAGATTGGCAGCGGGAGTGATACCTCTGGACAGCCTTTACCTGAGCCAGCTGTTGCACCTCCTGCTGAGTTTCTGCAGACCCCAGGAGGGGGGGAGGCACAGGTGCCTGGGGACAGGGGGTGACTGTCCCATGCCTGTGCCCCAGTGGTTTCCTGAGGATCACCCCAGGGTCTCTCACACTCTTTGGAGCTTCAATGTTCCCATAAAACTCACATCTCTTTTTGACGAGGCTTGTGCCCTTCACAGATGGTGAGGGGGAGCTGGCCTTGGCCAGGGACCTTTCCTGCCCTTTGTGTTTTCTTCCAGGGGACATCCACTGCAAGAAGCACTTCGCCGGGCTGCTGAATTGGTCCTGCGGAGGCTGCCCCTTACGTGACAGTGCCGGCGAAGATGTGTGTCCACGTGTTTCCTCTGGTGCCCTGGCCTGAACAGAGTGCCTCTTCCCTCTGGTTTGGGACGTCCCTAAGCCTGCATCCCCTCCACCAAATTTTCCTGCCTCAGCTGCCAGGGGAGACACTCTCCTGGCAGCCGGGGGACACTCCTTGTTCTGACACTTGCCTGACACATGTACAGGGAGCCAGGGACCCTGCCTTGGCTCCATGCTGACTCCCGCAGTGGGCAAGTGCACCCGCAGCACCTGAGAAGACACCATGTCCCCACCGGAGGGGCCCTGGCGTTTGGAAGTCATTTCTCCTGAGGCTGGGGCCACATCAGGCTGGCCTGCTGCCTGCCTGGGTAGCCTGCTCTCTGAGCGCAATACGGCTCCTCTGGACACCTGACTTTTATAGACAGATGTTCCAGGGTTGTGGGGAACTGACATTCTCTGCAGGGGTTGACATGTGTCTTGGGTGGCTGTCAAGGTCTCAGTGGACTGTGGGTGAAGACCACGGAGCTGCTCTCTCTTGAGTAGCTCCGTGGACCCCTCAGCCATGGAACCATCTTTCCTGCTTATCCTTTCCCCCTGAGGCCCCTGGGTGCTGGTTCTGGAAGCCAGTCTCTCATCTGTTGGCCCATCTGGCCTCATGGGCAGCTCTGAGCTATGTCTATTGTCTGATCCAGACTGCTGCCGGCTGCCTTTGTCCACCACACCGGGTGTCCAGGGCTGGGTAGGCTCTCTGCCACTTTGAGCTGTGCTAAGGTCTTTGTCTACAAACAGCTTGTTCTTGGAGGCCGGCCTCATCTGTCTCACAGGCCTGGAAACAGGGAGGGGCGTTTCTTGGATGGGCATGAAATTCAGTGTCCCCATCCTGTTTCTACTAGTGTTGCTTTGCAGGAACCTGGAGGGCTGGGCAGAATCCACGGCAGAAACGGCGGCGTCCGGGGGAAGGCAGAACTGAGAGAGAGAATGTGATGGCTCCACTTTTGTCTTGTAGGACTCTAAGGATTCCTCAACTCTTTGGGGAACATCAAGTGTCATCTTCCCGGCAAAGGTTTTAATGTGTTCTTCCAACATCTTTTCTTTGCTAGGTCTGAGTGATAAACTCTGTTTCAATGTGTCCTTCTCACCTGCCAAAGGGGCCAGCCGTCTCACCTGGCCGTGCGGTGTCTGGGGTGGGGGCTGGAGCATGTTGATACAATGTTGCACTCTGTCTTCAGTGGCAGGGATGTTGCTGTCGCTCATTTCTTTTGTTCTGCTCAGATGTCCTCGTAGGAGGGTTTCACTGTTTTTCCGGCACTGCTTTACCAATGAAGGCTTTGCAAACTTTCCGGACAGATTCCCGGGCTGAAGTTCCGGGTCTGTCTCAGACTCAGAATGTTCCCTGCCTGTTGTAGCCCCATGGAAGTCTCTCTGGAGATGGTCTTTTTGGTCTACCTCTGGATCATGTCTCTGAACTTCCATGTCTTTCTCCTTTTGAGGGTGAGTTTCCGAGATCTTTTTGGGGAAACTTTCAGATTGGCTGACTCCTGATGGGTGTCTGCTGGCATTGTGCTTATTTGGAGAGATCCCCGAGGGCCCACGGCTTCTCTGTGGCTCAAGGAGCTCAGGAGGCTCTGGCTGAGGACTCATGAGTGACAGGGACTGCCGGACCCTGTGCGGCAGCCCCCATAGATGCTGGATGAGTCTCTTTCGGAGGTGGTGCTCCAATGTCCTCCGGACTTCTTCATCCAGGGGGTAGTCTCCAGGCAGGATGGACTTGGGATCACTGAACTTGAATGACTTTCTGATCATGGATAACTTAGGAGGTGGGGGGCAAAAACTTTGTTGGGATCTTTGGGTCACCGTGGGTAAACCCAACAAACTTTCCAGTGATTTTTGTAATACGTTGTATTCCAGCTGGCGAATTTCAGATGGTCTGAGAGGCTGTGCCTCATCCGGGGGTCCATGAAAGTGCACCCCACAGTCCCTAAACTGGGGTAGAGGAGAAGGTGGTGGGCTTTGGATTTGGGGTTGAGGGGCCTCAGACGTGGTGAGAGAGTCGGGCTTTGTCTGAGATTCGGGCAATGTTTGTAGCCAGACCTGTTGGTCTCTCTCAGGCAAGGGCAGCTGTATGGGCTGAGTGCTGGCAGGAGATTCATTGCCTGTGGAAGCCTTAGCCATTCTGTTGAAATCAGCACGTACTGAGCTACTGTTAACTGAGGTCTCAGCCTCGCGTTTCAGGGACTCGCTGTGTAGAGAAGGGAGGCCCCAGAAGAGCTGGGTATCCTTGATGTCTGACTGGTCCTCAGAGGTCTTGGGGTAAGAGAGCTGCTGGAGTAGGAGAGGGTCCCCTGCATTGTCTTTTTCATTACCCAAAGGGAGGGAGACTTCCAAGTTCTTTGGGCCGGCAATTGACGCTGAGATTTTTCCTGAATTGTTTGGTGGCATTGAAAAGGATTCTGTTTCCTCTTTCCTATGTTCAGATGCGGTGAAATCCGTCTCCGTTTGCTCTTGCCTTTTGAAGAGTGCCAGGACATCCGGGGTGGGAGACAAATTGTTTCCGGGCTCTACAGTGTGGGTCTTTGTAAGTCTCTGATCTGAGGCTTGGGCGGCATGGGGGTCTACAGGCTGTTGGTTACGAGTGTGTGGAAACTTAGTCAGGGTCTGGTCTTTGGCACTGGACCAGGACTGGAAGGATGCTGACACAGCCAGCCCTTTAGAGATGGTGCCTTTGGCTGTTGGGACATTGGCGGACAGCTCCCTGGGGCTCTCCACAAGAGACAGGGGCGCTTCTGGTTGGAGAACTAACTGTGCTTCCTGAGGGGCATGTGGGAGTAGATGTGGAATGGGGATTAACGGTTTGTGTGGGGCGTGGCTCAGTAACACTGCAGGGTCTGCGGGAGCATTAGCTTGTGCTGCCAGAGAGATGCTGAGCGGTGTAGGAGAAGGTAAGTCATCCAGAGTGCTTTGGTTAGAGGACAGGGTGGAGAGGGGTGATGGGGAAGGTTGGAGCAGTACTTCTGGAACTGGAGGTCCTGGTTGGTCACCTGGGAAATGAGACAGAGTGGATGAGGGCTCTGTCACAGAAGCTGTGGAAGTCAAATGGGACATGAAGGCAGAGCTATCTTCCAGGGAAGCCTGAGAGAGTGAGCCACTGTCCTGATCGCTTGCTTTGTTACATACATTGCAGAGGGAGTCTGGATATGGTTTGCCCAGGGGACTGTAAGGAGACAAAAGTTCAGAGCGTTAGCCAAGTCCAGCGACTGAAAAGGAAAGCCCGCTGGCCTGGGTGATGACCCAGGAAGTGAATTGAGGGGAAAAGCACCTTTGCAGGGTTCTCTGCAGCCTCCTGCCCTCCTCGGTGTCTCTCCGACCAGTTCTCCCACCTGAAAAAGCAGGACCACGCCTTACACAGACGGAAAGTAGAAACCGGAGGGTCACAGAGCAGTACCTTTAAGATTAAACATTCGAGAGCATGGGGAGAAGTCTGGGTGGCCAAAAACACTTGACATTCATCTAGAAGACCTTGGGTCATTTCTCAGCATCCGCATGGTGGCTCACAACAACCTGAACGGCCAATTACCAAGCAAGGATTCGCTTTTCTGACCTCTGAAGGTACAAGACATGCATGTGGAACACAGTATACATCCATGCACGTATGATAAATAAATATATAAAACTTTTTAAATAAAAGCACCTAAGAGAACCCTAACCCTAACACACGGTCTTTGAGGCCGCTCGGAATGTCCACTCCTGGGAAGCTGTATTTGCAAACCCCTCCACACGTGATGCCCCCAGTGACACTCAAAACCGCTGCAGGATACACTGGTCAGTGATGTCCTCGCAGGTCTGAGCTCCTAGCAAAGAAGCACTGAACACAATGGCAGGGGACATAACCTGTGCTCCAAGGCAGCCATTACTCCCTCCTCCACATCTCACAGGAGCCCCGAGGGCCTGTGCCCGCTACCCAGGACCAGCACTGCTTCATAAGCAGGGGGGGAATGGAGTGGGCACTCAGGGAAGTAGCTCGGGTCTGGCTGTCTTCATGACGGCTCTTTCCTGGCTAAGGGACCATGTATATAGCAAGTGACATCCTCACATCACAGGCCTGTAAGTGTGTGGAGAGGACATATGGGGAGCCCGGGACCATGAGGTCAAAGGCAGACACGTACCTTTAAGTGATTCCCTGGCTTCCTTGGCTTTCTCCTGTAGCTGTGAACAACAAGGGGAAATGAGCACATGGGTCTTACTTACTGGTTTTGCTGCTCTTCCTAAGATGTTGAGAATCCCATCACCCACGCACACCCTGAGGTCCACGGAAGACGGAGATGTGCCCACTTTAATATTAGCGGTGGCAGTGACTCCCTACTTTCACCCCTCCTCTGGAAAACTAAAGGACAATGTGGTGTTCCACGAGGACAGCGTCCCCCCCCCCGCCCCGTGCTCCTTCTGAGACTCATAAGTCAAACATGGGTTCCGTCTCTCTTCAGAGACATCACCAACATTCAGCACTGTGATCCCGACCAGCTCAGCATGGAAGAAGGTAGGTGAAGGGACACACGATGTGGGGCAGGTCATGGATCACGTGGTCCGGGGGTGGCTGGTCTCATTCTGAGAACTCAAGAGTGTAGCCAAGCCACCAGGACCAGTTTCCTGCTTAGTCCTGGAAACCTCAGCCACACACAGACAGGTGTACTGTGGGTGCCAGACACAAACCTTTGTCCTGCCTGCATCCCTCCCACGCCCTACTAGAACATGGCCTCTTGTCCCTGCACCTTCCCTCTCTTCTGCCCCTCCCCTTCCCTCCTGCCCTCCCCTCCTCTCCCCTCCCCTCTCCGCTTTTGCCCCCTCTCATCCCCCCTCCCAGGGTTCCATCTTAGACATCCCCCTGACAGTCAAGCTCATCCCAGAGCCAGGGAACACAGAGAAGGGCCCCTCACCAATGGAGACTCTCTCTTGGGAACTCGCCATTCTTCCTTACCTTTTGGGTGCATTCCTTTTTCCACAGTGAGGGTAAAACCACTTTCAGTAGCAGGTAGCAGGTGCTCAGAAGCAGCAGCCCCAGCCCACTCAGTAGGGAGTAGTTGAGGTCTACATGACAGGGAGCTGGGCCAAAGGCCAGCCATGTCTCAGCGAGGCTATTGAGAGATGAGAGAATGTTCTCCATAGTGTAAACAGCATGGCTGACTGAGGTGACTGATTCTGAGGGTTGGTCGGCTGGACTAGAGTCCCAGGCCTGCATCACAGAGCAGGGGAGAGTCACAAGGGTTTCTGAGGGTGGGGATGAGGGTGTGTCTTCAGCCTTGCCCCCACCCCCAGGGAGCTCTTCAGAGTTCTGCCCAACCCTGCTGCCCCCTCCTCCATCTGCCCTTTCCTCACACCTGTATTCCTCAGGGGAGCTCTCTGTCTGCTCCATCAGCAACCCAGGGGCTCACCCGTTCCCCTTGCTGCTTGAGATCTTGATTGGGGTCGCAGCAGCTCCAGCTTTTGCTCAGACATTAAGTGTCTCAGGGCAGCGATGTCTTCAAACAGATGTTATGTGTGAACAGCTGTCTCTCCTGTTAACACAGGCCCATGACCTGAAGTTCTTTTCAAACTCCAGTTAGTAAAGTTTGCGTGTGAATCATCCTGCGATGTCTTTAGAAGTGCAGAATCTAATCAGAAAATTGATCAACTCTTCACAAATTATCCTCAATTCGCCAAAAAGATTTGCGCACGTCTCTGTGTGTGGCACAACAGATAACACATATTAAGCCTTACGAACCAGGAAAAAAAAATGTAAACTTATTCCCAAGAATACGAGACAGTTATAAACATTTTATATTTAGGTTTGTGATTTCAATTTGGCTTCCCATGGACAGGCTCCCAAGAAGTCAGACCCAAGATACCCCAGGCACCCAGGGAGACAGAAAAGGGTAAGCATGGCCAGGATACAATCCGGTGAAAGAGGTTCAGGTGCAGAAGGTACTGGGCTACCTGAGTTAGGGCATGTGTGTCTCAGTTAGGTTTTTATTGCTGTGAGGAGACACAATGACCACGGCAACCCTTTTTTTTTCTTTTTTCTTTTCCTTTTTTAAAAAGATTATTTATTTATTATGTATACAGTGTTCTGCTGGCATGCATGCCTACATATCCAGAAGAAGGCACCAGATCTCATTACTGATGGTTGTGAACACAGACAGTCCCCCCTCCCCAGTACCTCTGATAAAGAAAACACTTAATGGTGTGGCTCACTTTGCAGTTCAGAGGCTCCGCCCACCATCCTCATGACCGGAGCATGGCCGTGTTAGGGCAGACGTGGTGCTGAGGCTGCATCTTCCAGGCAGCAGGAAGTTGACTGACCGCCACACTGAGGGAAGCTTGAGAAAAGAGACCTCAGAGCCCGCCCTCTCAGTGACACACTTCCTCTAAGGAGGCCATGCCTCATATTAGTGCCGTTTTCTTTCAGATCTTAGCACTCCGCTCCGCGGCCCCCAAAGGCTGTAGCCATAGCATAATGCAAACATGCGTTCAGTCCAACTTCAAACGTCCCCAGAGTTCACAAAGTCTCAGAGCCCTAAGTCTGTCCTGAGACACATGGCAGTCTCTTAACTGTGGTCCCCTGTAAAAATCAAAAAGCAGATCACATATTTGCAACATATAATGGCACAGAGTATGCGTTGCTATTCCAAAATGCAGAGAAGGGGGAAACACTGGACCAAAGCAAGCCGGGAAACTAGCTGGGCAAACTCCAAACTGCATCAAAACGCCCTTCAGTTCTCAGTGTCTGTTCAGCTTTGTGGACCACCGCACACTTGGGCTGGTTCAGCTCCCTGTTAGCAGTCCTCAGCAGGTGTCACCTGACTCTGGCATCTCCAACACCTTGGGGTCTCCAAGGCAATCCAAACCTCAACTTCACAGCTTCACACAACGGCTTCTCTAACAGGGACACTGCCGACACATGCCTGGCCTCAGTGGCTTTCTTTAGGTACCATAACTCCTTTCTCCTATCCTCAACTCTAAAGCCAGAACCCCGTGGCCAAAGTGTTATAACACGCTGTGTGGCTGATCCCATGGCGGGTGACAGAGGCCAGGCAGACAGAGCTGCAGGGGGAAGGCTTTTCTTTTGGAGAAAGGGAAGAGAGAGGGGAAGGAAAGAGGAGGAGACCTATCTGCCCCTTCAGAGGAGCAGTAGGAAGAGAGCAGAAGGGGGTGGAGATTTCTCTTAAAGGGACCTTTGTACCTGTGCACAGACTGCCTGGTGACTGGGGGGAGGGGGAAAAGGGGGAGGGGAGGGGGAGGGGTGGGGGAGGGAGGGATGGCAGGCCAGCTCACTAACTTTCTGCCTTTCACTGCCTAAGCTTGGCTTGCTCTGTAGACCAGCCTCTGTCTTCCCAGCGTTTGGATGAAAGCCCTAAACTTTTTCTTTCCTGTTCACAAGATGGAAACTTAGTTGGGTGGGATCTTGCCCTGAGGTCACCTCTCCCTTTATTCCATTTCTTAATCCATTTATCTCTTTGAACACAGGGTTTAGCTCCATTGCGCCTCCTTGTGGTCCTTTTCCCCTCAAAATTAACATTTTGTCATTGACCCTGCTCAGCTTGCTCTTCCTCATTAGAGTTAGCACTGATACCCACATGACAGAGTCTTTGAGATTTTTAGGCTGTTATGAGATTTCTTCTGCCAATGGAATTAATCCAACATTCTTCACTTTGGCCTCAGGCAGACTCTTCAGACAAGGGCAAAAGGCAGCCACTTCCTTCCATGAAAATATCCCAAGGATGATTTCTAGGCAGCATCTTAAAATTCTTCTCTCAGCACAGTGACACACTTTCTCCAACAAGACCACACTTCCTGATAGTGCCACTCTCTTGGGGGACCATTTTCTTTCAAACCACCACAGTGGGGCTCCTGGCCAGATGAGACGAGGAAACCCGACTGATCCCAGGGCAGGCATTCGTAGACCAGACTGATTTAACAAGCAGCCACCTTACATAGAATAAGGTTTGCTGGGAATGGGACAGGAAGCACCATAGGCTGCAGTGGACATCGTTACACAGTAGGTAGACTGTGGCACCCTGAGCACTGCTAGGAGCCCCTAGGAGGGGTGGGCCAGAGTGGGCAGTAGGCCAGGAGGGACCAGAATAGTAGGAGCTGAGGAAGGGAAGAGGCTGGGAGGGAGAGTAGGGGAAGGTGGACAGCAGGACTCACTGGGTAGACTCTACACTGGGGGGTGTCGTGCACTTGGTCACAAGGGTGAGCTGGACGACATCGCGGCTTGGCAGCGTGGGCAGGGGCAGCATAGAGAGCATTGGGGTTGGGGAACGGTATGGTCAAGAGGCACAAGGAGGAGCTGTAAGTGGGGAGCAATAGAAACAGTGGGAGATGGGGTGAAGCTGGGTTAGCGGGGTAAAGGTGTGTGCATGCGTGTGTGCGTGCGTGCATGTGTGTGCATGCGTGTGCATGCACGTGTGTGTGCATGTGTGTGCATGCGTGCATGTATGTGCATGCATGTGTGCATGTGCGTGTATGCATGTGCGTGTGTGCATGTGCATGTGTGTGCATGCGTGTGCATGCATGTGTGTGTGCATGTGTGTGTGCGTGCGTGCATGTATGTGCATGCATGTGTGCATGTGCGTGTGTGCATGTGCGTGTGTGTGCATGCGTGTGCATGCATGTGTGTGTGCACGTGCATGCGTGTGTGCATGAGTGTGCATGTGTGTGCTTGTGTGTATGTGCGTGCATGCTTGTTGCTTGTGTGTGTGTACATGCTTGTGTGCATGTGCGTGTGTATGCATGTGTGTGTGCGTGCGTGCTTGTGTGCGTGTGTGTATGTGCGTGTGTGTGCGCACGTGTGCGTGTGTGTGTGCGCGCTGTTAGGACAGAGGCAGTAAGGACAGGAGGCTGTGGGGTCAGTGAGTTGGGGAACGCAACACACCGAGGGGACCAGGGTGACGTGCTGGGTGAGCAGTTTGTGGGACAGCAGAATCATGGATGAGTTGGACTCGGTGTGATCTGGCAGCCAGGAGGCACCATCTGGAGTGATCTGGGGAGGCACAGTGGGCCCGCAGGCTGAGTGGGTAAAGGGATATATGGGTAGAGTAACAAACACTGTGGGCTGTCGGGAGAGCCCATGTGATGCGAGGGTGGTTGAATGCCATCGGACGCTGCAAGGATTGGGTTAGGTTGAAGAACTAAGCACTCTGCTGCAACTAGTGTGGCCTGGGGACCAGGGAAGGCTGGAGGCACATGGCGTGGACAAGGGGAGGGGCTGGCTATGGTGCATCAGCTGAGGTTTGGGGTGTGTAGGAAGGAAGTGGTCTGTGTGGTTTGAGTAGGGTCTGTGTGGAACGGAAGCCTGACATGTCGAGAAAGGAAGACTTGAGTGAGGTCTGAAAGCCAGGCATGGCAGACTTAGGGCAGGCGAGGAAGGGCACGCTGGGGGACTGGCAGAGAAAAGGAGGGCAGAGAATGTGCCTGGTGGCCTGGAGTGGGATGGGGAACAGGGCATATTCCGTCGATCATGGGCAGATGGGTGACTCTGTATGCCAGAGATTGGGAGGAGAGATTTGGTGGAAATCTCACGTTTTAACTTGTGTCTACAAAATGTAAGTCAAAAGATATGTTACTTTGGGGAAGAGGTTATGCTTTTATTTTCACAGGAGATGAGAGGCTGTGGATTCGTTCCAGGTTAATATGAATCAGTCTGGGTCAGGAAAGACCACCTGAAAATTCTGGCTACTGACATATAACAGAAGCTACAAAACACATAATGTATATTTTACCTGCTGGAACGTAAGAAAAAACAAATTATCCAGAGCTACATAGTAAGACCCTGTCTTGGAAAACAAAAACAAATAAACCAAACCAAAACCAAAAATGTAATGTATAACTAAAACTACAGGTTAGTAGTTAGTTGTCTATAATAATCAAACTTGTAATAATATTAGGTAAGTTTTCAAGGTTAAACAGATATGTATAGATACACGGTCTTCAAACACCTCAAAGACCTATAGAATATGACATTTAATATGTTTAATAACCGAAAGCTTTTCATGACAGTGAGTCATATCTGCTTCTGACATCACCAATTTACTTGAAAAGAAGATGATGGGAATCGAAGAACCTCTGTATGGAGTTTGCTTTCTTTATGGCAAAAGCTAGCCATTTGGGTAAAAAAACTGTCCTTGCTTCATTTGCCACAAGTATACTGTCCAAACTGGACCAGCAGGATGCAAACATTGCCAAGACAAGGGAGGACACACTTCAAAATTCCCTGCATCTCAAAAATGCCTGTAAGATATACCAGGCCAAAGTTGGATGCCCCATCATTACAAAGGAACCTTGGTGACTGTCCAGGAAGCCAATTGTCCCTTTCATTAGGTAATATTACACCCCTCTGGGGTCTTTGATGGAGTCAAAGACTAAATAGTTAAACTTACAGTTTTCCCGAGTTTTGGTAAAATTAAATATAAATATAAATTAAATATAAAACTTCAGACTCACAAAGATAAGGTAGATAATACAGTATTTTTCTCCAATTTTGCCAAATACAAATGGACTGTAGTTCTTACTTGACAACTGTTTTTGTTGTATATAATTCCACCATGTTAAAGTTAAAACCTTCCGTCTTGTTTAAACAGAGGTAGAAGATGCTGTGAAACAATAATTTTCGCTGTTAACATGTATTAGTCCTGTCGGTTAATAGAGAGCCGAGTGGTCTATAACTGTTCAGGAAGAAACTAAGAGAGTGCTGGGAAGAAGAAGGTTGGAATGATGGGAGGGGAGATGCATGAGACACAAAGCGAGCAGGATGGGAAGTAAGTACATGAGCTAAACGCGCATTGGGGCAGCACAGATTAACAGAAGTGGGCTAGCTTAAGTTATAAGAGCTAGCTAAAAGCAAGCCTGTGCGTTTCAAGCCTCTGAATGGTTATTTGGAAGAGGCTCCTGAGACACAAAGGATCTCTGCCTACATTACCCTTTGTCTTTGCCTTTATCGAATGGCCATCTGTCTGTCTTCTTACCTGATCCATTGCCAATGTCTTCCTGAGTCAGACTAACCGGGGAATGTTGCAAGAACAGGGAGACATTTGTTTCCGCAACAGAGCCGTCTGGTTTTGTGTTGGACAGAGAGCGCTGAGAAAAAGTTACCGTTCACGTTGGGAGAGGAAAGAGTGGGGAGCGCACTGAAATCCGTTTACAGGAAGAGTAACAGGGCAAGATGAGGAAAATGAGTGTTTAAGTCACGGCACACCTCCTAAAATTGTTCATAAATAATACCTGGCACAGCACATGCCAATGTACGTGTGAGCATCTTGGCCACCAGTGTGGTGGCTGTATGGGAACCACTGGGAAAAGCAGTTAGGTGCCTGGGATGTTCCTTGAAGGGAAGAGGAAGCTCTTGACCCCTGGCTTTCTGGATTTCCTTCCCGTTTATCAGAAGGGAATCTGCCTGCGCTGTAACACACTAGTTCCATTACACGCCTGACCCCACGCGCCTAGTGACTGGAAATAGACTGTCTGAAACCGAGACCCTGCAGTTTGGTTTTTGTCATCTTAGGCATTTTGTCATAGGAAGAAGACTTACAACAGTGAGCTGTGCCCATACCATCACGCGATTTGTGGGGAAGATGAAGCTATATACCAGCACCACCTCCCAAGTTCGAAAGAAGTTCACCAGCTCCCAGAGGCATACAGCATGACCAAAGGGAACAAGGGAGTTAGAACAAAGGTCCCAAGTTGAACAAACCATAAATCCTTTGCACAGCAGGGGCATGAAACTCCAGCTGGGTAACACGTGACAAGAAAGCTCTTCGGTTTGGGACATCACCAGGTGCTGACACAGAGTGAACAACGGGTAATCAGTGAGGACCCTCACCAGTCTCTAAGGCTTTGACACTCCTGGGTCCCACTCTGTTCCCAAGGATCCTGGGGATCACCCTCACAGCTTACTATCAGCCGGTCCTGTTGGAGTAAATCACCAAACCCCTACGCAATTGCTGACATAGCCAGAGTCTTGATTATAGGGAGAATAGGAAGAAATCAGAGTCAAAAATAAAGCTATGACTGAAGTTAAAGGAGTGAAGATTGACTCTTCTTGGACATGAAAACAGGGTCTGGATTTGTCAAAGGGCCCATGTATGTCTAGAGCATAATCAAAGTCTTAACCCAATCAAATGTTCAGGAGCTGCAGGAAAACACACAGTTATATCCAAGAACAGGATTCAATAAAATACATTTAATAATTATATCAGTTTTGTGATTTGACCCTGACCCTTTCACTAAAGACATTCAAGACAGACTCAAAGGGGAGCAGTTGACATTCACAAAGATAAACGAATATAGTAGGCACAGGGGATAAACATTCTGCAGATGGCACATACATAAGGGTATCAGCGTCGCCAAGGCTGTGAATGTCTGAGCAAAAGCCAAACTCCACACACCATGGTACTGGAGCTGCTGCGACCCCAATCAAGATCTCAAGCAGCAAGGGGAACGGGTGAGCCCCTGGGTTGCTGATGGAGCAGACAGAGAGCTCCCCTGAGGAATACAGGTGTGAGGAAAGGGCAGATGGAGGAGGGGGCAGCAGGGTTGGGCAGAACTCTGAAGAGCTCCCTGGGGGTGGGGCAAGGCTGAAGACACACCCTCATCCCCACCCTCAGAAACCCTTGTGACTCTCCCCTGCTCTGTGATGCAGGCCTGGGACTCTAGTCCAGCCCACCAACCCTCAGAATCAGTCACCTCAGTCAGCCATGCTGTTTACACTATGGAGAACATTCTCTCATCTCTCAATAGCCTCGCTGAGACATGGCTGGCCTTTGGCCCAGCTCCCTGTCATGTAGACCTCAACTACTCCCTACTGAGTGGGCTGGGGCTGCTGCTTCTGAGCACCTGCTACCTGCTACTGAAAGTGGTTTTACCCTCACTGTGGAAAAAGGAATGCACCCAAAAGGTAAGGAAGAATGGCGAGTTCCCAAGAGAGAGTCTCCATTGGTGAGGGGCCCTTCTCTGTGTTCCCTGGCTCTCGGATGAGCTTGACTGTCAGGGGGATGTCTAAGATGGGACCCTGGGAGGGGGGATGAGAGGGGGCAAAAGCGGAGAGGGGAGGGGAGAGGAGGGGAGGGCAGGAGGGAAGGGGAGGGGGCAGAAGAGAGGGAAGGTGCAGGGACAAGAGGCCATGTTCTAGTAGGGCGTGGGAGGGATGCAGGCAGGACAAAGGTTTGTGTCTGGCACCCACAGTACACCTGTCTGTGTGTGGCTGAGGTTTCCAGGACTAAGCAGGAAACTGGTCCTGGTGGCTTGGCTACACTCTTGAGTTCTCAGAATGAGACCAGCCACCCCGGACCACGTGATCCATGACCTGCCCCACATCGTGTGTCCCTTCACCTACCTTCTTCCATGCTGAGCTGGTCGGGATCACAGTGCTGAATGTTGGTGATGTCTCTGAAGAGAGACGGAACCCATGTTTGACTCATGAGTCTCAGAAGGAGCACGGGGCGGGGGGGGGGATGCTGTCCTCGTGGAACACCACATTGTCCTTTAGTTTTCCAGAGGAGGGGTGAAAGTAGGGAGTCACTGCCACCGCTAATATTAAAGTGGGCACATCTCCGTCTTCCGTGGACCTCAGGGTGTGCGTGGGTGATGGGATTCTCAACATCTTAGGAAGAGCAGCAAAACCAGTAAGTAAGACCCATGTGCTCATTTCCCCTTGTTGTTCACAGCTACAGGAGAAAGCCAAGGAAGCCAGGGAATCACTTAAAGGTACGTGTCTGCCTTTGACCTCATGGTCCCGGGCTCCCCATATGTCCTCTCCACACACTTACAGGCCTGTGATGTGAGGATGTCACTTGCTATATACATGGTCCCTTAGCCAGGAAAGAGCCGTCATGAAGACAGCCAGACCCGAGCTACTTCCCTGAGTGCCCACTCCATTCCCCCCTGCTTATGAAGCAGTGCTGGTCCTGGGTAGCGGGCACAGGCCCTCGGGGCTCCTGTGAGATGTGGAGGAGGGAGTAATGGCTGCCTTGGAGCACAGGTTATGTCCCCTGCCATTGTGTTCAGTGCTTCTTTGCTAGGAGCTCAGACCTGCGAGGACATCACTGACCAGTGTATCCTGCAGCGGTTTTGAGTGTCACTGGGGGCATCATGGGTGGAGGGGTTTGCAAATACAGCTTCCCAGGTGTGAACATTCCGAGCGGCCTCTCAAAAGACCATCTGTCACTGGTTCTTAGTGATTTTAGGGATGCCCAAGTGTTTTCTCCTAACTCTTGTGCAACCATAGTTTCTACCTTCATTCTTTCTACTCTACAATCTTGCTTTTTTGTTTGTTTGTTTTTTTGTTTTTTGTTTTTTGTTTTAGGTGGGGAAACTTTCCAGAGAGCAGAGGAGAGTACAAAGCTGCAGACAAACCAACAAAGGTAGGTCATTTACATCCTTTTCTGCTGCCCCCTCCGCCCACATATCCCTTGCTTCCAGGGATGCAAAGCATCCTGCTCTGCCAGGAGGGGTAGACATAGGAACAGGGTGTGGGGAAGGTTAGTGGACTTCCATGGATGGGCACTAGGAATGGCCACTCAAAGCACAGGAGCCTGCCCCTTGGCTAGGTGAGCAGGTCCTTGTGTGCACGTACCGGCTCTATTATAGCTTGAACTTCTTGTCCCCTGCAGTCCCTTGGGAGAGCTGTGTGATGCCCCTCAGGATGAAGGACTACCACATCCAGAGCCTGTCTTCGGTATGTGTCATAGAACAAGTGGCCAGGCCAGTCACGTGCTCCCCCAGGCCACCCTCAAAGACGGCGATGACTCTCATTCCTGCTTAGCTTCCACAGCTCCTGCGACAGAGACCTGTGACACAGAAAACCAGCCAGGACATCCAACTCCAGTCACTCCACCCGGGCCTTTACCACTGGACCCCTCCAATCTCTCCCCTAACCACTTTGCTCACTTGGAAAGCTGGCTTTCTTCCCTACCGCCAGAGGCAATGTCCTCCTTGAGAGCTAGATTTCAACAGGACCCTATCCCACCCCACACACTTACCTCTTTTACTCCTCCAACAGAGGGAGCAAGAGAGGCAGAAGTGGTCTACCCACTGGAAACCACTAGGTCTCCAGTCAGCGGCCCTAGTGAGGTATCTGTTAATGTCCCAGACACCAAAGGCACTGGCTATATAAGCCGGCCATTGCCAGACCCTTCCCGGCAGCAGCCTGCTGCCCACAACCTGTTATCTTCAGATTTGGCACATTCCATTAACCAACATCTCCCAGACCCCCATGCTTCTCAAGCCGCTTTGCAGGAGGACCTTCCAGAGCCTGGAAACCTCTTGCCTCCCAACTCTGATGCTCTGGTGCAACTCAAAAGGCAAGACAAAAAAGAGGGTGATTTCCTCACAAAGGATAAGGAGAAAAAAGAATATTTTATAAAGTCAGCCTATTCTTCGGAGAAGCTGTCCTCAGCAGAAACATTGGCTAAGTCACAGGAGCTGGCTGCCTCTCATTCAGCAAGCAGCAAAGGCAAACCCACGCACCAGCAGGCCCCTCACTCCAAGACCTCTGAAGATGATGCAGAAGCTAAACCCGCCCAGCTCTTCTGGGGTCTCCCCTCTCTGCACAGTGAGGCCTTGCACCCTGACACCACCACTGCTTCACATGACCATACCACAACATTTAACAGCATGGCTGAAGCCCCCACAGCTGACGATTCCCCATCTGTTACTCTCCCCACACCTCTGTCTGTGACTAAGAGTCAGCCGCAGACCCGGATCGAGACCCCGTCACAATCTCATTCCCAACGTGACCCTTCTGCTGAGTCTCAGGCTCAGGGTCAGAACACTTCCCCAGTCTCTGTCTTGACAATGTCTCCTCAGTCCCAGATTAGGATCTGTGGGGTGCATTTTCACAGACCCCAGGATGAAGCAAAGCCTCTTGGTCCATGTGAAACACAGCACCTGGAATACAATGTCTTGAAAAAAGAGCAGGAGAGAGTGTGGGGTTTACCCTCTGTGGTCCAAAAATCTCGGGACACATTTTGTCCTTCCCCTCCCAAGATCTCTCTGGTGAACCAGTCCTTCAAGGCCCACACTCCCAGGCCCATCCTTCTTGGAGACTTCCCCCTCACCGATGAGCTTCGGAAGAAACTTGAGCACCATCTCCGAAAGAGGCTCATCCAGCACCGCTGGGGGCTGCCGCACAGGATCAATGAGTCCTTGTCACTCATGTGTCCTCATTCAGAGCTGGTGGATTTCCCTGAGTCGGGGAGGAGTCACGGTCTCTCATGGCTCACACTCTTTAAGCTTCAGGGCAGCAAAGACTCACACTCCATTGTACTCAGCGGATCTGGAAAATTTAACAACGGGATCTGGGAGAAACGTGCCAGAGAAGAGACTGAGGTAAAAGCAAAGACGGACAGTCAAGGTATTGGCCAAAAACACCGTCTCCAGAGGGACCGGAAGGGCAGTCTGCAATCTGACTTGAAGACAGACCAGGAGCCTCAAGTAGCAAGTCAGTCAGGACAACTTTCAAGCCTCCCAAAGGTGAGCCCGTGTCAGAAAAAGATTGAAAATGAACTAGAGCAACACCTCAACAGGAAAATGAAGGAGATCCATGAGGGCCAGATCCCTAGCACTGTGGGGAGGTCATGGCATTCCATCAGCGAGCTTCAGCCCCCACCCCAGACACCGCACGGCCAGGTAAGACGTCTGGCCCCTTTGGCAGGTGAGAAGGACACATTGAAAACCCAACAGAGTTTATCACTCAGTCCTAGCAAAGAAAAGATGTTGGAAGAACACATTAAAACCTTTGGCAGGAGGTTGACATTTGGTCTTCCCCAAAGAGTTGAGGAATCCTTAGAGTCCTACAAGACAAAAGTGGAGCCATCACATTCTCTCTCTCAGTTCCGCCTTCCCCCGGACGCCGCCGTTTCTGCCGTGGATTCTGCCCAGCCCTCCAGGTTCCTGCAAAGCAACACTAGTAGAAACAGGATGGGGACACTGAATTTCATGCCCATCCAAGAAACGCCCCTCCCTGTTTCCAGGCCTGTGAGACAGATGAGGCCGGCCTCCAAGAACAAGCTGTTTGTAGACAAAGACCTTAGCACAGCTCAAAGTGGCAGAGAGCCTACCCAGCCCTGGACACCCGGTGTGGTGGACAAAGGCAGCCGGCAGCAGTCTGGATCAGACAATAGACATAGCTCAGAGCTGCCCATGAGGCCAGATGGGCCAACAGATGAGAGACTGGCTTCCAGAACCAGCACCCAGGGGCCTCAGGGGGAAAGGATAAGCAGGAAAGATGGTTCCATGGCTGAGGGGTCCACGGAGCTACTCAAGAGAGAGCAGCTCCGTGGTCTTCACCCACAGTCCACTGAGACCTTGACAGCCACCCAAGACACATGTCAACCCCTGCAGAGAATGTCAGTTCCCCACAACCCTGGAACATCTGTCTATAAAAGTCAGGTGTCCAGAGGAGCCGTATTGCGCTCAGAGAGCAGGCTACCCAGGCAGGCAGCAGGCCAGCCTGATGTGGCCCCAGCCTCAGGAGAAATGACTTCCAAACGCCAGGGCCCCTCCGGTGGGGACATGGTGTCTTCTCAGGTGCTGCGGGTGCACTTGCCCACTGCGGGAGTCAGCATGGAGCCAAGGCAGGGTCCCTGGCTCCCTGTACATGTGTCAGGCAAGTGTCAGAACAAGGAGTGTCCCCCGGCTGCCAGGAGAGTGTCTCCCCTGGCAGCTGAGGCAGGAAAATTTGGTGGAGGGGATGCAGGCTTAGGGACATCCCAAACCAGAGGGAAGAGGCACTCTGTTCAGGCCAGGGCACCAGAGGAAACACGTGGACACACATCTTCGCCGGCACTGTCACGTAAGGGGCAGCCTCCGCAGGACCAATTCAGCAGCCCGGCGAAGTGCTTCTTGCAGTGGATGTCCCCTGGAAGAAAACACAAAGGGCAGGAAAGGTCCCTGGCCAAGGCCAGCTCCCCCTCACCATCTGTGAAGGGCACAAGCCTCGTCAAAAAGAGATGTGAGTTTTATGGGAACATTGAAGCTTCAAAGAGTGTGAGAGACCCTGGGGTGATCCTCAGGAAACCACTGGGGCACAGGCATGGGACAGTCACCCCCTGTCCCCAGACACCTGTGCCTCCTCCCCTCCTGGGGTCTGCAGAAACTCAGCAGGAGGTGCAACAGCTGGCTCAGGTAAAGGCTGTCCAGAGGTATCACTCCCGCTGCCAATCTGCCCGCTCTCAAGTGCAAAGGGCTGAGTCCTGCAGCCCAGGACAAGGGCAGAGCGCCCCTAAGAGGTGTGGCGTTGCAGGAAGAGCGGAGATGATGGGGATCTCCCCCAGCGGTGCTTCACAGGGAGCCCGAGTCCCGCCCAAGTCCTATCTGTAGGCATCAAGCTGGCCAGGGTGTCCCAACTGCCCTTCTCTGTGTGGAAGGCAATGTTGGGAGATCTGTTTCCATTACCCATGCAAAACGCTTTTCTAGATTTCCTGCGGAATATGTTTTCTACCCAACAGTAATTTTCCTTTGCTGTCAGTATTGATTTACCCAATAAATTTACTTAAAGTGTGTGTGTGTGTGTGTGTGTGTGTGTGTGTGTGTGTGTGTGTGTGTGATGTGTGGCATGTGTTACTTCTAGAGAAAGGACCTAGTCAGTTAAGCTTTGCTCTCTGTGTCCTTCTTCTCAAAGATGAACTATTTCCCAATTCTTGTTAAAGGACGGATGCCATATATCTAAAGGATGGATGGTTTCATGTACCAAGAAGAGATTCTTCCCTCCCTCGTGATCAGGGAAGGTAGCTTTCCTTTCAACCCTGACCCTTAGCTTAGTCCTCATCTCAGACTGTCTATATTCTTGAGACCAGCTGTCCCTTAGCATGAAGTCATCATCATTTGACGTGGGCAGGTTAGTTTCTTAGGAGAGATGGACTTGGCCAAGCCCAAGAACCAGTTACCAGTGATCAGATGCCGTATGCGACTCTCCCTTCAACATCCGCATCCATTCCTGCAGAGCATCCTGCATTTATTGATTATTAGGTTGGAGTCCCGGAAGACTGTCTAGAGGTGCTTACACCAAGTCATGAGGTCACTGGATTACTGGCGGCCCAAGGAAAGGTGCTCTGAAAGGGATGGAGTGCGTTGCATAGGGCTGGGTAAAGAGAGGACATTTGGTTGAAGTAGATAAGGTAGGACACACGGACAACTGGAGGACCAGGGAGGACTGGGAGGCAGGAAGGAGTGTGTACCGGGGAGAGGTGAGTTTGCCATTCTGCGTGAACTATGGTAAGGTGCACAGGGTGGCCTGACACGATTGGCAGTGTACTGTAGGAAGGATCGAAGTGCTATTTGATGGCAGTCTAGAGTGAGCCCAGGCATGGCTTGGGCTGCCCCGGCCAGTAGTTAACAGACACGATTTGAGAAACACAGTAGACTGGTTACACGAGACTGAGTTAGGAGACTGCAGACAGGAGGCAGCCATGCTCTTCAAGATGGTAGAATTTCCACACGCTAATTGAAAGTAGCTTATCTGGAGAGGTTCAAACAGGAAAAAGGGACTAAAGCCGGTACGGGGGAGGTTAGCTCTTCCTCAGACCCTGTCTCTTACGACAGGACAAACTATCAAAGTGTGACCTCAGTAGGGTAAGTCCAAGGCCCGAAGGTATGCAGAAACTGGAGGCAGATGGGCGAGGGAGCAGGCGAGGCGGCTGGCAACCTTGCTGAAAGCAAGGGGCCGCCTTGGCCCAGCAGCCTCTTGTCGAGTTAAGCCCGAGTTCTGAGGCCAGCTGAGCCTGAGATCTCACAGAGGCCGTTCTGGGTCAGCCCTCTGCGTACACCCACGGCTGACACCTTCTGCCTCACTGTGCACAGGTGTGCGCTGAAGGCACCGCCACCTAGGGTGACATTTAATCAGCTGGGTGGGCTCAAGCCAAACCCTGCTCACTAGGAAAGTGGGCTCTGTCTGGAAGGGGACCAGGTCAGAGCCCGACTCTCCTGCAAAGCATCTGCGTCAAGACCTTTTCTCCAGAAGATGGATTGACAACCATTTTGGTTTTGAAAGTCATTTTAAGCTCAATGCTTCTGAGCTCTAGGTTTCCTGCATAGGGCTTCACAGGCCCATTTTCTTTCTCTCTCAGTTGTCTTGAGATGGTCTCACAAGGCAGCCCCAGCTGTCCTGGAACACTATGTAGACCAGGCTGGCCTCAAATCCTCAGACACCCACCCACCTCTGCCTCCTACGCTGAGATTAATGCGTGTGCCACCACCACCTGACAGGCCCATTTTTAGGGAAATGATCATGACTCAAATCTGACAATTCTTTGCTTTTTCTGCCAAAATAAATGGCTTTTAGGGCACTAGAAATAAAAGCTGATACATTGTGTGTGTGTGTGTGAAAGTGAGTTGGGTAACTGGTCTGGGTGTCAGTGTATACTACAGTCTGACAGGCCAGGTGGCTGTGGACTAGGGTAAGTTGGTAACCAGTCACTATGTTGTCACTAGTGGGAGACAGGAGACTAGACAGGTCAGCTGGCCCCAAATAGGGAATGTGAGCTTGGCTGTCAGGCTGCCATGAGCCAGGGAACATGGGGGGGGGGATGGGGATGGAGGAATGGCGGTTGACTGGGAAGAGTCTGGAGACAAGGGCTTCTGGGAGTCAAGCCAGCCAGGTACTAGAATCAACTGCAGGGCCAGCCAAGCGGGCTACTTTAGGGGAAGACAGGCAGCCACGCGAGCATGTGATGGATAGAACGGGACACATTTGGTGGAATAGGGTCAGGTAGGCAAATGGCAGGCTAATGGGCCCAAAGATGAGGAATAGGGTAAGCTGAGGAATGGAGGGGTCATAAGCCAAGCACTGCTGTGGATGGGGACACTCGTGGGCTGGAGGTCCTGGGTTCTGTAAGAGAGCAGGCTGGCCAAGTCATGAGGAGCAAGCCTGTGAGCGGTCCTGTGCGTGGGCTCCGCATCAGCTCCTGCCTCCCTCCAGGGTCCACTTGGTTTAAGTCCCAGGCTTGGCTTCCTGCACTGGGCTGTGGTTTGGAGTGTGTAAGCCAAATGAACACCGCCCTCCCCGGGCCGGCTTTGGCTGCTTTCATCCCGGCAATAGGAACCAGGACAATGGAGAATGGCGGTTAGTTGGGGAAAGGCTTGATAGGAAGGGCAGCACAAACCTCACGCAGCTCTAGGTGGCAACAGCTCGCATATTCCACACCCCAAGGGCAATGACTCACGTGCCGTGGAGAATGGGTGGGCGAAGGGAGGCAGCACGCCATGCCAGACAGCGATCTTACACACGGACCGTCATGTGTAAGCTCTAACATGACAGCAATGACCTACACGGTACCAAAATCAGCCCAAGATGGGCAGGGAGGTGCGCAACAGCAGAGGGATGTGGGGGCCATCGGGGTGTGACCCCCTTTGAGTAGTAGTCTTCATGTGTCGTATATTCCTAGAGAACTTGAAAGGAAGGCGACATCGCAGGACATGTTTCTAACACTGACAGCAGGGAGATGATTTCCTCGGAAAGCATCGCTCTAGACGGGCTAAAGAAACGGCCGGGGGAGGGGGAGAACTATTCCGCCGGGCGATTTTTCTAGTGGACACAACTCGGTGGCAAGAACAAAATGGCAAGGCATCTGACAGCCATTGAGAAGCACCTGTCAGAGCCTGTGTAAGCAGGGTCTACTGCTGTGAATACTTCCTGACCAGCCATTCGTAGCAAGAGCTCCACACATAGCTTACTGGAGACTGTCAAAAGTGCCCCGTCCTCATGGAATTAACTGTCCTTTGTAGGTAACACATCTTATGGTAAGGCGACCTCGGCTTTCAGGGACATAAAAGTGAGGGGCATGTGTGGGCTGCCCCACCCTGGCAACGTCTCAGTCGAGAGCTAAGCAGCACCCAAAGTTCTTTCTGAGGGACTCCACACCCATTCTTAAGAGCCAAGGGAGCCGGGCAGTGATGATGAATGCCCTTAATCCCAGCACTCAGGAGGCAGAGGCAGGCGGATGTCTGAGTCCAAGGCCAGCCTGGCCTACAGAGGGAGTTACAGGACAGCTAAGGCTACACAGAGAAACCCTGTCTCAGAAAACCAAAATACCAAATCAAAACAAACATACAAAAACAAGAGCCCAGAGAACCAGGTCACCTCTCAGAGCATACAGGAGCCTCAGTGCAAGTTGGATTAACGCAGCCATTTCCCTGAACACTAGGTGTCACCTAAAATCCTCACCATGCACACACACACAGACACGGCTTCATCAGAACATTTATTGGGGGCAATCAGTACCACTAATAAGAGATTATTTCTGGGGAAGAAAACTTTTTCCACTGCAATTCTGAGTCAGAATTTTCTGTTCACATAGTCGGGACAAGTCTGTCAACACAGTCCCAACAGCCAAGGATGGTACTGCCCGAGGAACCTGCCCAAATCTCGAGAGGAGGCTTCGGTGCACCTCCGGCCCTACACAGGATGCAGGTGGGCCAGGCTGTGAGACCACACCTTTGTGGGGCTGCCTGTCCCTGTCTTCCCCCTGTCTCCTTTGACCAACAAAAGTGGTGGACCGGCTGTAGGAGCTGGGACTTGGCACTTTAGGGTAGGCTACTTGGTGGTAGAGCGATCGCGCCTGGACCGGCTGTGCTGAGACCCGACTCTCTTTCTTTGGCTTAGTTTTCACAGGCTTGGTAGGGGGAGATAAGGGCACACGGGGGCGTGTGGTATCTGCTGCACCATACCTATGCCCCAGTTGTTCCCTGGAGACCTTTCTGGGGTCTCTCATGGGTTTCTGAGCTATGGTGTTCCCAGGAAAGATAACTCTCCCCTTAAGTAGCTCTGGGTCCTGCACTGGGGATGGGGGAGAGCCTTTTCTTAGCAACATTTCCGGCCCTTTGCATTTCCTGTCAGGCGAAAGCCGTTGCAGAAGTTGTTTGAAGTGCTTTCTGAACTGGTGTTCAGGGGGGCTCTGTGCCTTCGCTGGCAGGGGTTGGATGGCCTTCTCCCCATGATTCCCCTGGATTGGAGCGTCCTGTGCTTGGCGGCTCTTCCCGTTGGCCTGTAATGATGTCCCAGACGTTGCAACCCCTGCCCAAAGCTCTTCCGTTTTCCATGGTGGAGGCCGTATTTTCTTGGCAGGTGGAGGGATGTCCTTGTTGTGGTCTAAGACATGAGGAGCCATCCAGGTCTCCTGTCGCAGTCCCTGAGAAGCATTCATGGAGCCCCTCGAAGGGCTCTGGTCATGCACGGGGAAAGGTTTATAAGAGAATTCATCTGAGGCAGGGAGCTTGTCATTTGGGTGCCTTAGAACTTGGATGGGCAGCCTACTTTCTGACTTTAATTTCTGTTCCCTGGATACCTGACTATTACAGTCATATATCTGACTTTCCTGGGGACCTGATGTTTCTTTCAGGGCCCTTCCAGCTACCAGAGTACTTTGTACTTTTGTTATATTCCCATCTGCCCCTTGGGTACTCTTGCACCGGCTGGTATTCATGATCTTGGTAGGTTGTGGTTGAAGACCACTGAGCTGCCCTCCTTTGACTGTATTACTGACCTTGTTGGATACAAATATGTTTGTGTCATTCACCTTTGAGTCTTGAGTCCCCCGGACTGTTTTGCTGAAATACAGTCTCTTACTCCATGGCACAGGGTCAGGCTCATTGGATATTCTGGGCACATCTGGGCTGTGTTTATTGCTCTCTGACTCTTCCTGGCTGGTGTTGTCTAAGATAATGGGTGTCCGTTGCAGCATTTTATACTTGCTCATGACATGTCCATCCTTGTTATCAGAAGCCTCATGTTCTTTCTTGCCCATGCATGAGGTAGAAGGGAGAGGACAATGCCCTGATCTGGGCATAGCGCCAGATAGCTGGCCCTCCCTGGTTTCTTTGAGATGCCTGATCAAACGCTTTTTCAGGACAGTTTCAAGTTTTTTCTGACATTGGCTCACCTGCGAGCTCCCTGAAGGTTTGCCTGACAGACTGCCTGGGCGGCCCTGTGGGTTTGTCTCACAGTCAGACTGCAGGCCGTTATCTACAGCGCCCTCAGAGTTACCCCGCAGATGTCTGTGGACGGTCTCCGAGCTCTGTTCCAGCGTCTGTGCAACTGTTCCCTCTAGAGAGACTCTCTCTGGGCACCTCTCCTGGGAGCTTCCAGGTTGGTTCGACACAGAGTCGTGTGGGTCTTTGCTGTCCTGGTGCTGAAAGACAGAGACCCCTGAGAGCCTACAGTCGCCCATAGGTGACTCTGCAAGGTCAGGACTCACCCACGGCTGAGACTTGAAGACCCTGTGGGACAGGCCCTGGTGCTGCAGGATGAGCCTCTTTCGAAGGTGGTACTCGAGTTTCTTCCGGAACGCATCAGTCAAGGGGAAGTTTCCAGGAGGAACCGACTTGGGAGTGTGGGTCTTAGGGGACTGCCTGACAAATGAGGGTTTGGAAGGTGGGAGGCAAAACTTTTCCTGAGAATTTTGGACCGTCGAGGGTAAACCCCACACCCTCTCTGGTTCCTTTGTTAGGGCGCTGCAGTCTGCGGGGTGCACTTTAGGTTGCAGTAGAGCTCTTGTCTCGTCTTTGGGTCTATGAAAATACACCCCACAGATCCTGAGCGGGGACTGAGGGGAAGATGGTGGCACCGGGATCGGAGGTTGAAGCTGGTTCTGGGACGTGGCAAGCAGAAAACTCTGAGATTGACTCTCGGGCAAGGACAGAGGTCTGGGGCAAGTCAGGAGTGAGGAGTCTGGGACTCTGTTGAACCAGATGCATGCTGAGGAACAGTGGGTGGACAGTGTGGTGATGGTGTGCATGGACTCGCTGTGGAGATACGGGAGACCCCAGAAGTGCTGTATCAGTTTGGGTTCTGACTGGTCTTCAGATACTTGAGCCTGACCAAGCCCCTGGTGCTCAACCAGCTCACCGACCCTGCCTTTGATGTCCTCCAGAGGAAGGGAGCCTCCTGAGTCCTGCAACTTGGACTTGGGGATTCCCTCCCAAGCTGTCAGTAATCTTTGGAAAGATTCTGCGTTTCCTTTCCCATCCTCCAGTGTGAGGAAGTCAGCCTGACCTTTGCCTTGTCTCTCAAATGGTTCCAGGACTTGGGGACTGGGAAAAGAGGGTTTTCCAGGCACTGTGAAATAGACTGTGGTTGCCCCCCCCAAAAAAGCTTCAGAAGAGTGGGGGTTAACGACGCATCCCGACTGTGGCGTGGAGAGCCCTGATACGTCACCACGAGCTTCCTTGTGTGTTCTGGCATTGACGAACTGCGCACTCAGGCTGTCCACCATGGATGGGATGGTTGCCAGCTGTGAAGACCCTTCCGTTTGAGGAGCCGTGGGCTCTGCCTCAGAAGGAACTGTGGGAGGTGGGTGAGGTGGAATGTGGTCCAGTGGGAAGCCAGTGCTTTCGAGGACAGGCTCTGATGGCAGGGAGTCGCCTTGCGGTGTACACAAAAGTGTGTCTTCCAAGGGGGTGACCTCGTTAGTTGAGACAATGGAGGGAGGAGGAGGAGGGGGAGGGGGAGGGAGAGAAGGGGAAGGGGAAGGAGAGAGAGGAGGAAAAGGTGAAGGAGATGAAATCTGACATCCTGGAGGGCTTGGTGAGAGGGGAGGGGACAGAGTAAATGAGGTCTCAGTCGCAGAAGCCGTGGAAACCACGCTGGATGCAGACACAGCACCTTCTTCCAGGGTGGCCCGCAAGAGCAGACGACTGACCTTAGCCGTTGCTCCGTTGCACACATCGCAGCAGGGATCCGGGCAAAGCACTTGTCGAAAGTGGGAGGCGTCGTACAGCTGTCCAAAAGGGCTGCAGAAGGCAGTTCGGATGTGTGGTCAGGACCTGTGTTCTAGTTTGTGTCAGCTGTCAACACGGCACAATCTACTGTGGCCTGATAGGCCAGCCTCAGTGGAGGGATTGCCAGGAGGGAGGCCTGGAGCCATGCCTATAGAAAGCTGTCTTGGTTGTTAATTCACGTAGGAAGGCCCAGCCCAGCCCATTGAGAAGCACCACCCCTAGACAGATGGTCCAGACGTGTTAAAAAAAAAAAAAAAAACCCAACTGAACCCGAGGGTATTTACGCACTAGCTAGCAAGCAGCATTCTGCACAGTTACCACTTGCTTCTTGGCTATGAAGCGAGTTCCTTGGTTGGAGTCCCTGTCATGACTTCCCCTCAAAAACTAACTGTGATCTGAGGTCTGGGTGTATAGGCTCAAATAAACCCTGCTCCTTGAAGGCACTTTTGGATGTGCCGTTTTATCACAGCAACAGACACAAGACTAGGACAACCAGCACGCTTCGAAAGAGGGCTACAGGCCCATGTGGAGTGTGGGCACTCGAAGCCTGTGCACATATTCCTCTTGCTCTGTCCTTGGATACCAGAGAGGCTGCACCGTCTCCCCACAACTTCAGCCTACACACGTGTCCCTTTGGGTAACCCTCCCATGACAACCGCAGGCTATGCTAAGTTCCCAGGATGCATTGACCTTGGTGTGGGGGTGGGGACGGGACCTGAAAGAGAGGGAAAATTGTTACCTTTGCATAACAGACAGCAGCTTCCTCCTCTCCTGCACTTCTCTGTGGAAGACTCTAAATTCTGGAAGGCGTGGGGGGGGTTGTATGGAACAAAGGACACATGAGTGTCCCACAGTTCCTCTACGGGAAACACCTAGGCTATTGTAGTCCGAAATCATCAAGAAACAGCAGACGTGGTGAAGCTGCCTTCATTTATGAGGTCCCTTCCCATCATCGCACTATGTACACCACAGACGCTCAGTCTTGGCTTCCTGAGTGGTGTCTGAGCCGCAGGGGTTAAGTATGGACAATGACACCAGGAGGCAGGAGCTGTGGTTCTGAAACCCGCCCCCAGGACTCCTCCCACAATCCTCCCCGGACCCCTCCTGGGCTGGCTGTGAGTACTTCTGCAGGAGTGCAGGGCTGGTTCTGAGACTCCTATGAGGGAAGCAGTGTGTCTAGGGACATGATGTCCTCAGATCATGGACCCGGGCTCCTACGGGAATTACAGGAAGGAAAGATTGAGGGTTAGCGCCCTGGAGGTGGGAGCCTACCTTTCAGTGGAGCTCTCCTCCCTTTCTTAGCTTTGCCTTGTTGCTGTGAACAAAAAGAAAAAAAAAAAAAAAAAAAAAAAAAAAAACAAACAAACCAAAATGATGTCTTTTCTGTTGCTTTTTCCTTGAATGCCTAAGAATTCATTTAACCAAGAATATGGTGACTTCCAGTGACGTCAGATTAATTCCTATCTTCACTGTTTGCTTTCAAAAGTGATGGAGGATTTTCAGTCCTTCCTTCTTTGAGAAACCAGAGGAGGACTTTTGTCTGCAAGAGTCACAGCTAGGACTATCATAAAGGAGTTCCATGCTGAGCAGCACAGACAGAGACCGGAGCCACAGTGGAGCTCCCTCCCTCTGAGACGCTGTGTCCTGCAGACAGCTCTGCTGAGGATCTGCTCAGAGGCCATGCGTGGTCAGCGGTCAGCGCCGCTTGCCCCCAACACAAGGCTGAAGTGAAGCTGAGGGGACATGAAAGGTGGGGTAGGACCAAGTGTCAGGAGACACTGTCCTTCAGAACACCTGACGTCTGGAACTGAGCCCGTCAGACGAGGCCATGGACACCCAGGGAGGTAGGCTACAGATGCAGGTGGAAAGTTCAGTCCCCTCCACCTCAGGCTCAGGCGTTCTGTCCCCTCGCCACACCGCCTCACCTTTCCGGTGTCTTGGTTGCTCCATGTGGGTAGGAATGGTTTCAGTATCGGGTACCTCAGGTACAAAAGAAGCACCCCTACTGCACTCAGAAAGATGCACTTGGGGTAAATGTCTACGAAGGCTGAGGATAAACGTCCAAAGCTCAGCCAGGGTTCTGTAGCGCTACTCAGAAAGGAGAGGACCTTCTCCATACTGTGAATCGCACGGCTGCCTGAGGCAGCTGAGTCCTGAGGCTGCGTGGGCCTCGCTGTGGAGTCAGGCCTGCATCACAGAGCCAGGGAGAGTCATAGAGGGTTTGGGAGGGTGGGGAGGAGGATGAGCGCACCTCCACCCAGCAGATCTCTCTGCCGGAGCCTGCTTCCCAGTTCCCACGTAGCTGTCCTCACATCATGTTCTGCAGGGTTTATTCTGTGACCAACTTCGCCTCATTTACTGTTTGCAGCTCTCAACTTGGACCTTTGCAGTTCTCCTGTCTAGAGTTTGACTCGGCATCTTCCTGGAAATTTTTGCTGTTGTTTAGCTGGTCTCACCTGAACCAATGTCCTTCAACATATCTTATCCACAGGGCTCCATTTTCCCCTCTCACCAAATTAGCTAAGATGAAATTTCCTTTCCATGTAATTACTGTGTGAATGCCCACATGGCCCTTCTTAGTGTTCGAATCAGCTTGCAGGGTCTTCAGAGGCACAGACTAAAAACATAAAGCTATTGTAAATATGGCATGTACAACCTTTCTTTTGTGTGTGATTACACATTTTTTTTTTTTTTTTTTTTTTTTGGTGGTGATGTAGCTGGAAAGCCAGATGAGAAAGGGAGTAGGCTAGTCATGGAATGGAGTGTGCTTGGTGCTGTAGGGGAAAGTGGGTAACAATGGGCAGGCCAGTCATCTGGAAAATCTTGGGGAACCCAGCTGGCTGTGTGGTGTATGGATAGCTGGGAATTAAAATGTGCCACTGAGACCAGAACGAGGTAGGGACCCTGGTAGGCAAGCTGAATAGAAACTGGAGCCCTTGTGTGAGCTGCGGGGAGGGGTAGGCTGGGCAGTTGGTCGCACTGGTTAGAGCTGAGCAAAGTGCGGATGGAGATGGCCAGGTGGGAGGGAAGCTGAGGGACAGGGACAGTGTGGGTCAGATCCTGGAAGAGCACACAACTACCGGATGGCTGGGTGGGCTGGAGGCCAGCAGGAAGCAGACCAGGGTGAACGGGGAGCAGGCTCACCGTCACTAAGCTGAGTTGGGGTACTGGGTCGAACCGGGTGAGAGAGAAGCCAAGGCTGCTGGGAAGCATAGACCAGTGTGCGGAATGGCAGGGTAGGGAAGCAGGGCATGCTGGTAACGGGACACCCTGTGTGGAATAGGACAAGCTGGAGAGCACAGGCTGGCAAGCTAGGATGTGGCTGGTGCTCAGGTGGCAAAAGGTGCCATGGGTGTAGGTTTAGGGACAAGGTAGGGTGGCATTCGAGGGGCCATTGGGCAGGGTGAGTCGGGCGTGTAAGCATGCGGGGGCAGGCCTGACTTTCCTGGAAGGCTCAGTAGCACAGGGTGCATGTGAGGTGGGTTTGGCACTTGTGCACAGGTGGGTGGGGGGGTGGGGGCCGCTGGGCAGCCTGAGGTGAGGGGGGTAGCCGGCTGAGTTAGCGGCCACCGCGTAGCAGCACTGAACTGTGTCAGGGAACAGGGGAGGCTGTGGAGACCACAGAAGTATGTAGTGAGGGCAGAAACTGTTGCTAGAAGTCGAGGGACAGGGCAGGCAGGTGTCAGGGCTGCAGGAGGCATGCCACCGTGAGTCTGGGCATAGTGGGGGCCCCCTGTCCACGCAGCAGGGGCAATTACAGACCGGAATGAGGTTGGGAAAGGGGCTGCATGTGGCCTGACCATGGTTGGCTTAGGGTGCGTCGGGATTGGGGTGATCTGTGGAATCAGCAGGCACCCTGCGACATTAGGAAATTGAGGGTTGGTAGGTCTTGTGACATCATAATCAAGGAACTTTGACAAAAGCTCCATGGTGGGCTAGGCTGAGGTGGGAAGTGATAGGAGACAGGCCGGTCGGCAGCAGGCTGGGATGAGCTGTGGCAGCTGGCTGGCTGGCAGCTCAGGAGGGACAGAACTAGGCAGACACGGGGAGCAGTGGAGGCTGGGTGACCGGGGGATCACCACGCCCTGGGTGCCACAGGGTCAGACACAGAGCGGGTTGAATACTGTGCCGTGAGATAGTGGGGTGAACACTGGGGTACAAGGGGAATGGCCCACGTGGCACCCCTCTCACGGAGGGAACTGTGTGAGCCTGGACACTGGACAGACGCAAGGTCAGGGCACTGTGACACAAGGGACATACAAGTGCCCTGGGGTGACTGGACAGCAGCGCACAGCTTTGCTCTACAGTGAGTTGGGTTACTATGGAGTCGGCAGGCTGGGTAGCTGAGCTCACGGAGCTGGGACACAGCAGGCTGGGTGGCCACGGATGACTGGTCAGCTTTGCACACAGGGTGCACAGTTGGGTGAGATCGTGCCTGGCAAATACTCCCTCTCTGGAGAGCTCTCCCACTCTGGTCCTTACTGTCTTTCTACCCCTCTTCTGACATGATCTGAGTCTTGAGGGAGGAGCGGGTGCTCAGGACCCCACACTCTCTTCTTTTCCTGTTGGGCAGTTCCACCTCATTCGTTGGTGCTCTTTTGTTTTGGGACAGAGATGCCCCCCGTACCTCTAGCTGCCCTGGAATTCCTCATGTAGACCAGGCTGGCCTCCACTTCATTTTTTGAGACCGTTTCTCTCTGAACCTGGAGCTCATCAGTTTCGGTAGACTATCTGCTCAGCACACACCGGTTGTCACAGGCTCATGCCACTGCACCCAGCTTTTCATGTGGGAATCTGAATTCAGATCTTTGGGCTTCCATGACAAGGATGTTACCTGTGGGTGAGCGTGAAGACACAGGGCCATCAAGAGAGTTTGTTGCCACCTGACCAGCAGCTGCATGATGCTGCCTCATCCACAATTCTCTCAGGGCAGAGAAACAGCCACACGGAAGACTTTCCTCAGTAACTCGGGAAGCAAGCTGTGGCGTCCTTGCCCTGGAGTTTTGCGACTGTCTTGGATGCCAGGTGGTGGTGTGAGCCTCCAGCCTTTTTTCGGGGGCCTTTTCAGGTACCGCAGCCAGCAGGCTCTTGTCCTTAAATCAGCTGAATGGGGTGTAGTTACTCGTCTTGGTGTAGCAGGACTCTGCTCATGGCTTTCTGACCTTTGTAAACCTTCCTCTGTCACTGGGAAAACAATGACAGAGACATTCCAAAGCTCTGAAGAGATGGGATGAGGTATAAACATGACAACCCACCTGAAATCCCAGTGGTGGCGCATGACTGTAATGCCAGCACTCAGGAGGCAGAGAGGCAGGTGGATCTCTGTGAGTTCGAGGCCAGCCTGGTCTACAGAGTGAGTGCCAGGAGAGGCTCCAAAGCTACACAGAGGAACCCTGTCTGGAATGAAAAACCAAATCAAAAAAAAAAAAAAAAAAAAAAAAAAAAAAAAAAAAAAACAAAACCCACCTGCATTCAAACCTTGGAGTAAAACCAGCAGTACATAGTTCCTCTAAACTGAACTAAACTATTTAAGTCCCCATATTAAATGCAGAACAATCCAACACTGGTCTTTCCCGGTCTCTTCATTACTGCGTTCCTCTTTTACTGTTGAATCTCACTCAGGCCGCCACTGGACAATACATTGCTTTGTTTTTCTCCAGCTTCCAACATAACGGGGTTTCATGGTTGCCCATCTTGCAGACATCGTTTGACCCCGCCACAAATCTGGATGCTTCCTACAGGTGATCTGCACAAGACTACCTAATTTACAGCCAATTAGGATCTGCTGTAGCTCCAAACTCTTCTTCCCCAGGGACGCTCAGACACACTATGACCACTAAGAGCCTGGTGAACCGTTTATTCTGTGCCTTGTGTCTCCGAGCTTCTGTTGGTACTAGAAAATGTGAGAAACATCCACCAGGCACCAACTGGTCACAAGGGGATACCACCTAAAATTACCCAAGTAGAGCAGGACTCTCTAGGGGAGACGTCATCTTGTCATCTCGAATACAACCTCCCTGTCTCAGGGAAGTCTAGCACGTGGCTAATGGTCAGATGGGTGTCTCTTAAGATGATTCAGATAGTTTGCTTCCTAGATGCTCTGTGAGTGAGGGTTATGTCTCATTGCTACCCCGAGAGTTTTTCTGAATGGAGACGAGTAACTGGGTATTAAGCACAGCTTGCTTTGCTACCTCACGAGTCAGAGTCAGTGCACCCTCTCCTGGGTGTGTGAAAAGCGCCCCTGAGTTGGAGGCATAGGCTCTGGATCCCCGGAGATGGAGATGCTTTCCCACCAATGGTGTGGCCCCTTCTCTGCCTTCTCTCTGGCACCTGAGGTGATGAGCATGCCACACTGAATACATTCAGAGAAGCTCTATAGGCTTGAGTGTCTGTGAAGAAGGGCTTTACCATTTAGTCTGGGGTCTGAGAGGCGAAATAGAGATGGGCGGGGTGCGGATGAGCCCCGAAAGTACCTGCTCCCCGATACCTAGCGGGTGTGATAGTGTAAGAGCAGCGCCAGGCGGCACCGTGAGCGGCTTCACCGTGCGCGGCTTCACCACTGCCAGTGTCCCTTTCCTTTGGGCGACTCAAATTCATCTCCCTTTGCTTGTTCTACCCAGACCCAGTGCACTTGTGTTAAACGCTTTGCCATCGGAGTCACGCACGTGGGTGAGGACGAGGCTCTCCTTGTCACTGGTAAAAAGTGAGGAAATAAATTCTACAGAGGTGGCAACCGTCCCTGGCATCCACGCGCACGTGCCATTTCATCCGGAGTGAGGCCACCCTTACAGATTTGCTTCCAGCTGGTGAGATGGCAGGAAAGGCTGGCACACTACCTGGACTTCCGGTGTGCAACTCACGGGCGTGTCTGCACTTCTAGTAACTCACTGGTGTTTCCGTCTTACTAGCAAGATCTCCCACCCACCCCACCCCACCCCTGCCCCGGCTTCGATGAAGCAAGCTGCCACATGGGCAATGCCCACCAGCAAGAAAGAGGGAGGACCCTAGCCAACAACCAGCATGTGGTCAACAACCTTAGCCAAATGGCCTTGAGGAACCATGGCTGCCAGCAGTTGTATGGTGAACGTGGAAATGGGTTCTTCCCCTTCAAGCCTTC